ATGAGTAACCCCAGTGAGCTGTCTACTCTGATGTCTGTGTTCCATTTACACTTAAACTTCTCGAGAATGGCTGCTTTAAAATGGCTGATTAGGTAGGTGCATGCGGTCTCTTTAGCCTGCGATCCGGCAGCATGAAGGTTTGTAAGGCCTATAGAATGCATGGAGATTTATGAACATGTTAATAATTTAGGTACTCTGAGGTATTTGAAATGTTTGATTTTAAATTATTAAGTATTTGGAAAGTATGAAGAAAGTAGTCCACTGTTTTGATACGTCTCATACTTACTGGCATCACAGACCCTTACGATGTTGCACAGGATGTTTAGTTCCATTGATTTTCGGGGAGAGTAGGGAAAGCCTGAGTTTCGCTGCTTGCAGGCTGCCCTTGGGACAAGGATAAGCAAAATGGTAGAAGCCCAGCAGGTTGAGAAGTGGCCTATGTAGAGCACAGCTTTTTCTGTGGTCACTCCCAGACTGCGGAACTCCCCATCATGGAAGACCTGCTTGGCTTCCTCTCTCTGTAGGACTTTTCAGTTCTGGCTGGTTTGCACCTCCCTGCTTGAATAGTTTCCAGAGAATTGCTCCCTGGTATGAGGGGTTTTTTAAAAAAATAAGGAAGTACTTCAGCTAATGTGCTAAGATGTTTGGTTTGTTGCACTAGAAGCATACCTCATTGCTGTGGTAATAGCATGGTTGGGTATAAGTTATCTTGATAATGAAACAACATTTAACTATGTTCACGTGTGGCATGAATACACAAGAGGTATTCAAAACTAGCTTCCCAGGCGCTCATGTGAAAGCTTTCTTAGAATGAGCAGGATCAGGGTAGGCCTGCATGATAGGTTGCCTGACTTCATCATGGGCCAGTGTTGGCCCATCCTTATTAGCCAAAGAAGCCACTTGCTTTTTTTCATCAGATATTCTGGGTTGGAGTAGTTAGATGACAAGCCACAGTTAGGCTTGAAGCCAGTGAGAGGTACAAGGAGAGGGAAAAGAAGCTTGATTGACAAAAGACAGCAAAGGCTTTTCTGCATGACTGTTGGGACCCCACTCAAATTGAAGCATGCACTATGACTGGGTTTCTGGTGAAGGCAGGAGAAGGCTCCCTCTGGCAGCCACAGCTCTGCTGTCATTGCCCATGTTGTAACTGTGCCTCACATATAGATGTGCAGTGGTATATACATGTTAAATAAAATACATAGCTATATACATTGGCCTGGATGGTACCAAAGGCTAAAATCAAGCTGGGCCAGGCTTCCCCCACTCCCCCACTTGACATGAAGATGCCAGAAAAAAGGGGCAGGGTTTCTGTCCAAAATTAGAAAGTTTAATCCAGCTTCTGCAGTGCTTCCCATGTCAAGGCAGGTTGCCAACATGTGCTCTTAAAAGGAAAAGAGGAAATGACCAAAAACTGGGCAAGGGATGAAATCTGGCAAGTGTGGATGGACCTCAGGAGACACAGCAAGAAAAATCAAGATGTGTGCTCAAGTGAAAAAAGGTTTAACACAACTTCCTGATGTGAAATATTTTCTGTATTAGACAAAATAGCTGATACCAAGTCAAGACAAAAATACTTGGAGTGTGGACTTATCTACACAAAACTGCAAGTTGTACCACTCTGTGGTTTATCCATTTAGGGAAATCTTTAAAAATTTCATAAGTTTGGGTTCCTCCTGATGTGTTGGATTATAACTCCATTCACTCCCAGCCAGTGGGCTAGCTGGAAGATGATTGGAATCCTAGCCCAATAAATTTGGAGGGTGCAAGGTAGAGCAAGCCTTCTCTATAGTTTCCTGTTAATATCAGAATATTTTGTATCCTGTGTTCATCAGAATTCACCTATGGAATCCTAAGGCCTCCCCCCCCCCCCCCGAAAAGCATCCATATAATATCAAATCAGGTTGGCTTGTAATCCTCATTTGGCTCTAGTTGCTCCACCTTGTTGCCTTAACTGTAATCACCCTGGGCCAGGCAGCTTCATGTTACTTAAAATCTTATCATCACTCCAAAACAGTTAAGCTTGATCAGAAAAACTACTAAAGGAGCAGCTAAAAAATTTTTTTTTGTTGACAAGGACTAGCTGGCTATATGACCCCTTTCAACAGGCTATTGCAGCTGTGAGGGGAGAAAAAAATACTGTAACAGGATGGTTGTGGTTTTCTCCGAGAGCTAATTTTCCTGTTGACCATTTTAAAGAGGAAATTTTGCTCAATGTGCTACAGATTTTATGCCTAGGTATACAGTTACAGGAAGGGTTGTTTCTCTTTTGGTGTGATGAAAAATGCCAGCAATGAGTACAACTCGCAGCTTCAGCTGATGTTATTTGAAATAGGTCTATATTTTTCAGTTATTATTGTTGTTAATTTTAAGCATGCAAATTGGAAAAAAAATAATTACTGATCAAGCCCCAACCTGCATTTTCCCACAGTCATAGTTTGTTTGTGTTAAGTAGTTCTTGTATTATCATTTTTCTTCAGACTCTCTCTGTATACATGTGAGAGAGGGAGAATGACAAAGCTATTGTGGACCTTGATGGCATTTACCTTCCATATAGCGTGAAAGTGTATTGGTGATCAAATGTTGTTAGTGGGAATTGACATGGATGGAATGTTGTTTTCCTCACTTCCATTTTTTCATACCTTTACCTCCAGAGGAGTAAATCTTGTAACCGGAAAGCTCCTCTGGTCAGTATAGCAAGACATAAAATGTAATAGATGAAGCTGCCCTAAGTGGAAATTGGATGAACTGATGCATTTGTTTCCAGCACTACCCTGCCAAATAATTGAGTGCAAAACAGAGTTATATTTTTTGACATAATTTCCATCTTGTTCTTTCCCACTCTGTTGGTCCTCAGAGTAATGAATGATCATGTTTGATATCACCTAGGCCATGTTTTATTTCCTCTCCACCGCCCTCATGGGTTTTCTAACTCTCAGGCTGCATTGCTAAGCATCTGCATTTGGAATAAAAGATGAGTGATTCACCAGAAGTGTATTTTCCTCACCATGGAATAACAGACTACCCCACTTTTTTTGTGCAAGGAGTAAGAAGTCCTGATGCTTCCTTCCTTCTTTCATTAAGTTTGGGAGTCTCTCGTGTCTTAACATGTGAGAATTTAAAGCATACAGTCTTTCCATCCACTTCTCAGGAATGCTTTGTTTGCTCTGTATCTGGCATATAGACTTGCATATACCCTCCATCAGAAATCAAAACATGCTATGAGGATGCTTCCAGGCATTTTGCAGCTGTTCCACCTTTTTTTTCCTTAATGGATTTTTGGCACCAAGGAAAAAGAGAAGATGCAATAATGGGAAAACACGGGAGGATTACAAATGGAAGACAGCAATGTCTGGACCCTGTGCACCTCCACAGCATTCTGTGAATGAGGCAGGGTGATGGTGCCACAAGGCCTTGTCTGGAAGCACCTTAACCCTCCCAGATCTTGGTTTTGCACACATGGAGGCACAGGAGTATGTGCACATGTCTTTTATTGTGGGAAGTTCCCTTGCTGTTGACTCTGAGGGTAAAGCAGGAGTAGAAAGATAAAGGTGCACTTGTCTTTCAGCTAATTCTAATCCTAAAAAAATTAATTCTGATTCCTTTACCCCTTAATCATTCCTTGCTTGAAATTCCATTTGTCATACCCTTCTTCAAAAAAAAAAAAAATTCAGTGTGGCATACATGGTTCTCTTCCCCACCCCAAATTTTAGTCTTGCAACAGCCTTGCAAGGTAGATTATCTGCCTTGTTCCTGCTTGTCTGGTTGCAAGTTAAAAGACTGGATTTTCAATAGTTCAGTAGCCTGTAACAGCAGTATGCATTTGGATTATTCAAAGTCTCCTTTATTCCTAAAAGTGTGGAACTGCCAAAGGTGACAATATTGTTGTTGTTGTTAGTCGCGAAGTCGTGTCCGACCCATCGTGACCCCATGGACAACATTCCTCCAGGTCTTCCTGTCCTCCACCATCCCCCGGAGTCCACTCAAGCTCACACCAACTGCTTCAGTGACTCCATCTAGCCACCTCATTCTCTGCCGTCCCCTTCTTCTTTTGCCATCTATTGTTCCCAGCATTAGGCTCTTCTCCAGGGAGTCCTTCCTCCAGGGAGTCCTTCCTTCTCATTAGGTGGGAAAACCATAGCCTTGATTATATGCACTTTTTTTGGCAGGGTGATGTCTCTGCTATTTAGTATGTTGTCTAGATTTGCCATAGCTTTCCTCCCCAGGAGCAAGCGTCTTTTAATTTCTTGGCTGCAGTCCCCATCTGCGGTGATCTTCGAGCCCAAGAAAATAAAATCTGTCACTACCTCCATTTCTTCCCCATCTATTTGCCAGGAAGTGAGAGGACCAGATGCCATGATCTTACTTTTCTTAATGTTGAGTTTCAAGCCAACTTTTGCACTCTCCTCCTTGAGGTTCTTTACTTCATCAAGAGGTTCTTTACTTCCTCTTCACTTTCTGCCATGAGAGTGGTATCAGCTGCATATCTGAGTTTGTTGATACTTCTCCCAGCAATCTTAATTCCAACTGGTGATTCATCTAGCCCCGCCTTTCTCATGATGTGCTCTACGTATAAGTTAAATAGGCAGGGTGACAGTATACAGCCTTGCCAAGCTCCTTTCTTAATTTTGAACCAATCAGTGGTTCCGTGTCCAGTTCTCACTGTTGCTTCTTGACCCGCATATGGGTTTCTCAAGAGACAAATAAGATGGTCTGGTAGTCCCATCTCTCTAAGAACTTGCCACAATTTGTTGTGATCAATATACCAGTCTCTTATTTGTGACAATATTTGTGGTGATAATATACTAGTCTCTTAAAACTGTTTAAAACTTGTTCTAATGTTTGATTTCATTCTTTTTATTTAAGGGTATTATAATTAATATTAAATATTTTTATTTTGTATCAATCAGTAAATCGGGGGTATAATAGGTTAAATCTGCCCCTCAGGACAGAATATGGCTTGAATTGCCAGAGAGTCACGTGAGTGTCGTTTTCTTCCACAGGTTTCAGAGGGATAGAAGAGCCACTCGAGGATAGAGCATGCCTGTCCCGCCTCCCCCAGCTCCACCACCACCCCCAACCTTTTCTGTGGTGAGTTGCAATTTCAGTTTTAAAGTTTTCTGGGAGGAGGGAAAAATCCTGTACATGCATGCATGTATGTATGTATTAGATTTATAAACTACTCTCATTGCCCTGTAGGGCTCGCTGGGCATTGTACAGTGTAAAAATAAAGCCAACCATAAAAACAAACAAAATACATCTAATACAGCAATTACAATAACTACATAAATAATGAATTTAAAGTTACTCAGGTACAGTAATACTAAAACCATCATAAAATATTCTAATGATATAAAACTAATTATTTTCAACCTTTAAAATAGCTGGAAAATAGGACTGTCTTTCCTTGGCATTGGAATGATGATCATGAAGGCGCCAGGCATTCCATAGGAAGGCTATTCCATAGGTGGGGTGTCACCACCAAAAAGCCTCTCTTCTGTTTGCCATCCCCCTCACCTCTTTGGGGGATGGCTCTTTGAGAAGGGCCTCTGAGCCAGATTTTAGTGACTGGATAGGAATATATGGGAATAGGTATTCCTTCAGGTGTCCTGACCCCAAGCCATTTAGGGCTTTATATATCAATACGAGTACTTTAAACTGGGCCTGGGTCTCAACTGGCAGCCAGTGTAGATGGCATGAAATAGGTGTAATGTGGGCACACAGACCAGCTTTTGTCAGTAGCTGCACAGTCCTATTCTTTTATAGAGCTTTCATAGAATCATCTCGTTTGAAGGGGCCTAGCAGGCCATGGAGTCCAACCACCTGCTCAGTGCAGGACTCAAGTCACCCATCCAGATTTCAACCCAGCCTGAGCCTGCTAAGCTTCCAAGATGAGTTTCCAGACTTCTTCAAATGCAGCCCCGCATTGCATGAACCAGTTACGATATTCCGTATCAATATGAAGTGTGTTCTGGGTTACGGTGTGTCTGTGTTGTAACTCAGCAGCAGAGTACATGTTTCATTGCAGAGGCTCCCAGGCGTAGTCCTGCCAGAATCCCTGAAGAGCTGCTGCCGGTCAGTGTTGACTTTACAGGACCTGATAGGCCAATGGTCTGATGTTGTATGAGGGCACCTTGCCAGAAACAGCTTGGAGAGAGTAGAGGTCTTGATAATATGGGATGCCACACTGATCAGCTAGAGAAACCATACTGTTTCTTCTTGCTTGCATTTAGACAAGTGGGAAGGGAGTGAGCTGTCAGTCATTCCTCACCACTGATAAGTTAGCCACTGCTAAGCCACCGCATACCACTTAGTTTCCAGCTATGGGGATTATGAATCAGAAGATCGCTTTCTGCATCATGACTCCTGACAGCAAACTCAAGTGGTTAATACTGTTTGCAAATATAGGGCAAAAGGGAGGTATGGACATGCTGTGCTGTTTAAAGACGTTTAAGAGAATCCCTGAGGGTGTAAAAATGCCCGGTAAGCCATGAAATGTAGAGGAGCAGTTGGAAAAGTAAAATCAAGTGCCAGCTGGTGGTAGCTGGAGACTGGAAAGCCCTGCTTGGAAGGAACTGCCAGCTGGAAACCTGAAAAGCAGCACTCCTTTTTGGAAGGAAGATACACATTTTGTTGCATGCCCCATTGGTACTTTGCATAATACACCAATCCAGCTCCATTCACTTCCTCCTATTTCTTTAATAAATAAACTTTAATAAATACAAAACTTACAAGAATCACCATTTTTAACCTACATTTCTGAAAGGTTTTAAAGGCATCTGCCCTGGAACTTTAAAACTGCATCCAGTTGCCATGAGACTCATGTGTTTTGGGGTGAGGTGCTGTGTGTCTCTTCATTCACTGTATGTATTGGGCAGTATCCAGTGGTGACCTGCCATGAGCGACTAATCCGCCCTGCCTGTTCTGTTGCTTTAGCAACACCTGCTGCTTGTGCACTGGAGATGCAGTGCCTCCAGGGGTGACCTGAAACAAGCCTGGTCATGGATCCAGAAAAGCTTGTGGCACAACCCGCACTGGGGAATTAGCAACTTGTGGAATGGTAGCAGTGCAGGACCCTGCTCGCCTATGAAGAAGTTGGATACTGACCATGGGTAACGAGATTTGTGTTCCCATTTACCAACAATGTGAACATTTCCCGTTTGGAATTGTGAACACAAGCTGGAGCATAGCCCTTCAAAACGCTTGCAATTTCCTGAGATTGCATTTGTGTTCAAAGGTGTACACATGCAAAACTGTGCTTTTGTACGATCTACTGCCCTCTCCCAAAGATCAGGATTTACCATTTTTCACTCTGGTGCTCATCTTGCCTTGCTCTCCCTCCTGAGCACAATCATCTTGTCTCCCTGCACACCCAGAATAAACAGTGTAGTTTCAATTATGAAAAACGTGCACTTTCCAGGCACACTTCCCAAATGGTGACTCTTCCTTCACGAAACTAAATGTGCGTGTACATTAAGTGCCTTTAAAAATTGAAATTTTCATTTACAATGAAAAAAATATGTTGAATTTGAATCTAGTTTTTGACAGAGGGTAGTAATTTCTATGTATTTGCTCTCATGTACAACAGAAATACAGGTGGGATGCATTGTTTGCTTAGAGGTTTTCCTTTTGTTCCTTCATAATAAATTACATTTAGGGTGCAGTCCTGTGAGGCTGCCCATAACTCTCTGAACTTGAAGGATTTCAGACATCCTGTGCGGGAGAGGAGGGGTGGAAGCCGCCATGTTCTTCCACCTTGCAAAGCACGTCTACAGCTGCATCACTCTGGAGAGGGAGGGAACGAAGTTGCTAGGCTACTTGTATCTTGGCAGCACCTGTCCCCTCCCTTCCCTGCCCCTAGAAACCTTCCAAGCCCTGAGGTTGTTTCGTGACCTGGGGAAAACAGCCCCTGTAGTTCTTTCTGTGCCAGCTGCAAGGGGAAGAGGCAAATCTGTAGACCCCCAGCTCCAAGAGCAGTGCCATTTCCCCACCTTGGATCTGTAAATCAGAATGAGCTGTATGGATGCCGTCTGGGGCCCATAGGATTGTTTTACCCATCACCTTGCCAGAAACCTAAGGAAAGTCTTTGACAAAGAAAGCTGTGTGTGTCCCTGATATTTTATTTAAAAAACGACTATTTTGACTTTGCCTTGAGCTAATTTTGGTTGATGCATTACTGTTACTTACATTACCTTCTTCATAAAACAAATGAATCAAAAAGAGGGTACAACAAAGAACAAAAGGAGGCTACAACAAAGAACATTGTTCACAGGGACTTCTGTGCCTGCATTAATTCCTTCCCCTTGAGCAATATCCATAGTGAAAAAGCCCTTCCCCTGCAGCTGGTATTTCCCCAGGGAGTGAAGTGGCTATTGGTGTCAATTTTCCCCACCTCACACCTGGCTGCTAGATTCAGAATAAAGACAGCGCAGTGCATGCACACCTGCATGCATTTAGCATATCTACCAGATTGGTACTGAGTGGGAAACCACATCTGAGGAAATTTGTTTCAGTCCATTTTTGATCAAGATTTTACTCAGTTCGCTCCTCAGGCACACCTCGAACAGGGATTCTGATGCAATCTGCAAGTCTGTACATTTTGAAAAATGTAGTGTGATTTGCAGGCCAAAATAATCAGTTCGGGCAGCATGCATATATTTCAAAATGGGCATTAAAATGCTCATTATTGAAAAATGTACACAAATATCCTTTATTCAGTATTTGGAAAAATATGAAAATATGTATGGATTTTCATGCAAAAATGGGGGGAAGCTCTCAATCTGATACTGACTCAAGTTCTGGAATGTGTTTGAGATGGAATTTGGGGAACTTTAGCAAAACTCAGTTTTGCTGATTTGCACAGCTGCAGAACTATGGAGTTGCATTTCACACATTTGGAGGGTTCCAGGTTGAGGAAGGCTGAACTATATATCTTATTTACTCAAATCCATAGTTTGGAAGTTCATCTGAATTGAATCTTGGGGTCTGAACTTAAACTAAACCATAAAATTAAAAAGTGATGAGCCTGAACAAGAGCTTAACCCAAACTGCTTGAGTGGGAGTTGGTATGATGCCCTCAAAATTTAGACAAAAACTATGAAATTATCACAGGAACCTCACACATTATTACACTGGGGCTGGTAGGAACATGCTTATTTAGTAGAAACTTGAACAAGCATGAGTCAACCTTTAGAACATCTGGGAACATTTAAGCATTTTCATGTTTCTCATGCAAAATATTTTCTTACTTTCTTTCCATTAAGTGTTCCTTTTTAAAAAAGCTTGAGTTTCTCTTAACAAACAAAAGACAATTCAGATTTTTATAGCCATACACAGCAGTTTTTAAATATGGGCTGCAGAAGCCTGTAGAACTGGGATGGCTCTGTGCTGTTTGAAGTGGTAAATCAAAATTCATCTTCAAGTGGTTTTAATAAGAAGTATTGTAATCAACAACTTTATTCCCTTTCAAATAAATCCAGGAAATCCTGTGTTTGGACAGTGGAAGTGTTAGTCCCTAGAAAATGAGCTTCTCTGTTCAGTGTGTGTGTGTAGGAGCAGGAGAAGGAACGTTTCCAAAATAGCAAACTAAAAGAATTGCATTTTCCTCACTGACTGATGTATGAAGACACTCTTAAAAAGTGAATGAGGCATCCAAGTTCCTGTTCATTCAGAGACACAGTAAAATGGTGGATTCTCAGGGATGCTGCGCCAGTACCTTTTTGGTACTGGAACGCTGGTGTCATCTGCCAGGCTGTTCCCCTCTGCTCTTACCTGCAGTCATCACAGCAGCTGGGACGAAATGTATTTTGGTAAGATAGTGTGCCCTGCTGTAAAACAAAGCACTTTGGAGTGGCTCGATCTGGAATGGGCCATTAAGGCCATTACAAAAAGCCTTGCTCCTGGTGGAAGTGAGAAGTGCTAGAAGTAGGTTGCATCCTTGCCCTCTCCTTGTGGGCATGGCTGTGGAGCCTGTCCTGCTGAGTGCGTCCACGTCCTAATCTGGAATCACTACCTCTCTGTTTTAGGAAGGATTGCCTTCTTTTAACATGTTAGTGTCGGCCCTCCTAGTTGAAGAACAGCCATACACAAGGAATGCAAAACCCTGTAGCCCTCTTCCGATGCCAGGGCTTCCTCACAGGGCTTCCTTCATGCCAGAGAAGGTGCCAAGTTTGAAGAGGCCCTGGCATGGTGCGCCCTCAGGACCCCCCTCATCACTCTGGTGGGCTACCCCAGTAAGTGGTGGAGAACAGCAGCTAGCATCGCCTTGCTTTCCTTCTTCCTAGACTGGTCTCTTTCCTGTGTTTGGGCAGGATCCAGAGGCATTCTGGTAAAATTAAAATGGTGGACAGCCACTGCCTTAGCAGGTGCATTGTTTTGCTGCAAAGTGAGTGCCACCAGATTCATGCCCAGTAAAAATGTTGTGGGGAAAAAGAAAAAGGAATGAAGGTGCCCAGGCTGAGCTTCAGGGCCCTGACATTTGTTCTGCCATGCCGGCTGTTTCCACACTGATGTTGGACTAGTAAAGGCCCACGTGATTTTTCTCTGCTGATTCCCACATCGACAGCAGAACAGTACAGAACATCATCCCTGCTGGGACCCATATTGGAGGCAATACTTGAAAATTCCCCCTTTTACTCTTGTAAAAAATAATTCCTCCCCTAACCAAATTAGTTTACAAAATTCACTTTTAAAAACCACTTATTACCAATGCACTCAAGGAGACTATCTTTATGTAATAAAATTTTATCTAACTGCTACATCCTGCGGATCCTCTCTGACTGTGAATGGCTATAACATGGGAGTTATAATAAGCATAAAGTGAAACAGTGTGATTGTGTGGCAGATCCCATACCCCCTCCCTTTAATCCAAGCTCTAGAAATTATAAAAAGGGGACTTTAGATTCATTTGCCTAAAACAAGGAGTATCTTAATAAGTGGACACGGGGAAGATTTTAGTGAGAAATTCCAGGGGAATATCCTTTTTAATCCAGTAAAGGCAACTGTCAGTGCATATAAAGAAAGTTTATTTGGGAAAATGGCAAAAGGAAGGAAGGCAAAATGTTGTAGTGCAGTGAAGAAATGAAAGTCAGTTCCTACTTCAACATTACATTGTAGTTAGTGCTTCTGTTCCTGTTCTAAATGATATCTAATTCTGTATTTTACAGGCGAATACAGAGAAGCCTGCCTTAAGTAGATCGGAGCAGGCAGGACGAAATGCTCTTCTGACTGATATTACCAAAGGGAAAAGGCTTAAAAAGACTGTTACCAATGACAGAAGCGCACCAGTCCTTGACAGTAAGTGTCTCTGTCTATCCTTTAATAGGTTGTCAACACAGCTCTAACTCACAGAAATGCATGCGGGGGACCAGGCCACATGAATCTTCCACTGGGAACCTTCCAGTGATTTCCCACCACTTCTTTGGTTTGTTTTAATTACTTGAAAAAATGGTTAAGGAAAAACAGACAGAATAGTTACCTAATGCCTTTGAATTGTCAGTGCTGGAAACCCTCCATCTGGAAGCATGCTAAATCAAGGAACTCATACGCAACTAACTAGACTGCATAAACTTGTGAAATCTGTTAATTTGCTGTGGGAAGGAGCATGTACATGCACAAACTCCAGTAGTTCACTGTCTGAGGCCTGACTAGTCATTATTTGATTGAATTAAATGTGTTTGGGTGTTTATTTAAGTATATGAACTGCTTTTATCACTGTATATATTTGAAAAAATAATCCCATTTCCCTCTCATGAATGGTGCTATAAATGATTAATGAGAAAAAGATATGCTTTTATATAATTCATAATTTTAATTGACTCCTCCTCTTCTCTTGTTTTGCAAATAATAAAAACCAACAAAGAAACAACATCGCACTGCCTCTAGTCAGTCTTTGTCTGCCACCCAGCAGAGCTTTGTTAAGGATTGTCTAGAGCCTACTATATGCTAGCCCGAAGGATTTTGTATATCCATCTGAGGCCCACTGTAAGAAACCTGTGAGCTATTTCCAGGACAAAATCTCTTGCATCTGCCAGGACTTTGGCTCCAGCATTATAGAGATGAATCTAGCAAGGTTCCCAGAGCACATCCTGGTCTGTTTTTATTGGATGCTTTTCAGCTGGTTCAGCTCAAGGGTACTCTGCTTGTTTTGGATCCTCTGCACTCCCCTTGAAGGAACAAGTTCATAGCTTGGGGATGTTCTTTGACGCATCTTTGTAACTTGCAGCTCAGGTAGGCTGGGTAGCTCCGAGTGCCTTCTACCAGCTTTGGCTGGTGGCCCAGCTACATAGCCTGGCTTCAGTAATCTATGCTCTGGTAATCTTTAAGAAGGATTATTGCGATGTACTCTAATGTGAGTCTGTCCTAGAAAACAGTTTGGAAGCTGCCACTTGTGCAAAATGTGACAGCCCAACTAACAACTGGGTCCAGATGGTCTGAATATATAGCCCCTCTTCTGGCCCACTTACCTTCACTATATGCTTTTGAGCCTGAGTCAAGGTGTTGGTTTTAACCTGTAGAGACCTAGATGGTTTGGGATCACAATATTTGACAGAATGCCTTTCCCAGCCTCAGTCCACCTGGACACCTCAGGCTGCATCTGAGGCCTTCTCCTGACTGCACCCTGAAAGGAAGGCCCAGAAAGAGGCAATAAGGAGACAGGGCTTCTCAGTGGTAGCCCCCCAATTATGGAATGGTCTTCCTACTGAGTCCTGCCTAGTACCAATGTTGTCATCTTTTCGGTATCAGGTTAAAACTGCTTTCCACTCCCAGGATGGTATACAATAGGATGCCAGCTATTTTAACAGTCCTAGTTTTTACTGAAATTGTTTTAGATGTTTAAACTGTTTTACATTTTGCACATTGGAATTTTATTGTTTCTGTATTTTTGTTGTACTTTTTATTATTGTACTTTTATAAATTGTTCTGAACCAGTCAGATAGTTTTGGCTGCTGGGCAATATATTGCTGGATGATGATGACGATGATGACGACAATGACAGCAAGTATCAACAGCCTGCAAATTCTGTTGTGAGCTAAGAATAGTGGTTGACGACTTTTTCTTCCCCACTCCTGTCTCTGTAGAACCTAAAGGTTCAGGTGGTGGCGGCGGCGGTGGCTTCCCTGGTGGCGGCGGCGGTGGCAGCAGCAGTGGCGGCAGCACCAGCTATGGTGGTGGTGGACCTCCTGGTTTGGGAGGCCTGTTCCAGACAGGGATGCCAAAACTTAGATCTACAAACCGAGATAATGGTAAGGAAGTTGCATTTTGCTCAAAATGGATATGTCTAGTGAGTGCAACTTGGTAACATTCTCACTGCCCAACGAATTAAAAGTCAGCCTTACACATGTTTGCACAGAAAAACATCCTACAACTGGCAGCATTCCCCAGCCAGCATGGAAGTTATAGGGCTTCCATTTGGCTAAGCAGGCTCATGATGGTGTCCTAAGAGATAAAAAGCCAAGGGAGGGTGCAATTTTATGCACGTTTAGGCAGAAAAAGTCCTTCAACACCCAGCATGCCCTGGCCATGTTGACTGACTTCCTTGGTCTTGTGAGCTTGCCAAGATGAACGTTTCATCATACTGCCTGTAGTAGAGCACACCTTTTTATGCACAGATCATTACATGCCTTGGTACTCGGCCCCTAAACCTTTCTCCAAGACTGCGTCACACACTGTTACTGTCCACAATTGCCCTCTCCTTGCCGAGCTCCTGTAGCACAAATAGAGGAGTACACCGCTCTTCTTGAAAATATAAGAATGCTCAGGGTGTTTTACAGTTTACTTTAAAATCCAAAACAACAATGGTAAAAGTATATAATAAGAACATCAGAGAGCAAAAAGGCACACTTATTATTCCATGACATTTATATCCCCCCTTTTTCCCTCTGGCAAGGAACTCTTACAAGAGCCTTTTCTGCTCCATCTTTATCCATATAACAGCAACCCTGCCAGGTAGGTTAGGCTGAGAGTCCATGACGGGTCTGAAGCTTCAGCTGAGTGAGGACTAGAACCTACATCTCCCAACTCCCGGACCGGTGCTCCAGCCACTATGCCACACTGGTGTAGTGGTACAGAACCCATTCTCCTCCCCCCTGCAGCCAGGTCACATTGTTGGGCCCGTGAGCAGGCCACCGGGAGGGTCCAAGAAGGACCGTCCTAGTGGCAGACCTCTGCTGCAAGGCCTTGAATACAACAGCACTGTTAAAATACACAGGCTGTTGCTATAATACGGCCCTTCAGCACTGGCATGATCTGTCGTGTCACAGGCTATTTGTGGAACTCCTTTTAATCTCATGGTGTTTAATGTGCCAGAAAAGTTGCCCTGTGAAGCTGACTCATCTAGAGAATTTCTAGCGAGAGAAAGAAAATACATTTCTTCGCCCTTCCCTTCACCCTTCAAATTGAACTGAATTTGAGCGATTTTGGCAGGCCTCTTCATCAGATAGAGAATATACAACAGAAGAACCTGTACTTGCTGGAATGAAAGGAAATGAGGGAGCTTGCATGAAGAACTTAGTGGCGTGTGCGTCACATATGCAATGAAAACTCTTCTAGATGATGCATTGAGTGTTTTCCAAAGAGCTTTTCTTGGGTGTAAATATTGACAAAAATACTCACAGATTCCATCCACAACTGTTCACAACAGCTCTCAGCTGATTACAAATCCACCCCCATCATTCCTCCTATATAACTTGCTAATTTCTTTTGCCCTCAGATTCTGCAGCGAGCAGGACTCCAATACTACCACCAGGAGGACGAGCAACATCTGCAAAGCCCTTTTCGCCCTCAGGTGGCGTAGGCCGATTTCCAAGCCCTTCTTCTGGGCCAAGGACTGCAGCTCCAGAACCACAGAGAAGCCGAATGCCTCCGCCAAGACCTGACACTGCTTCCAAGCTGGACACAGGTGCGCCTCCTGTGCCCAATACTCCAAGACCAGTCCCCTCAAGCCTGTACAACCGAGGAGCGCCCCCAGTGCCAGGAGCAACCAGGCAAGCCAGCTTAGGGCTCACGCCTTCACCTTTCCCAGGAAACAGAAGTCAAGGATTTGGAGGACCTGCTCGCCAGCCATCCTTTGGGGGTGGTTCTTCTCCTTTCTCAAACAGGCCTCCTCTTCCTCCCACACCGGGCAGGCCAACAGACGACAAGCCGCCCCCACCCCCACCTCCAGCAGGAAACAGGCCCCCCCTCAGCAGGGAGCCTTCGTTGCCACCTCCTCCACCTCAGAACAACAAGCCACCAATTCCTTCTACACCGCGGCCTTCCTTTGCGTCGCAGGCCCCTCCTCCCGCTCCGCCGAGCAGGCCAGGCCCGCCTCCACTTCCGCCAACACCTAGCGGAAGTGATGACATGCCACGGCTTCCGCAAAGGAACATTTCACTTGCTCCGTCTCCACCAAGTCTGCCTGGCTCTGGCCGTTCGGGACCTCTTCCGCCCCCGCCGGGGGACAGGCCACCACCTCCCGTCAGAGACCCACCCAGCAGATCAGGTAAGGCTCCCTGGGTTCTGCCTTTGATTTGAAGCCAAGGTGGCATAGTGTTAGAGTGTTGGAGCGGGACTCCAGAGAGCCAGGTTCAAGTCCCCACTTGGACACAGAGCTCGCTGGGTGACTTTCCGCCCACCACTCACTCAGCCTAACCTACCTCACAGGGATGCTATGAAGATAAAATGAAGGGGAGGGTTATGTAAGCCACCTGGGGTTCCAGAACAAAGTGGGGTATAAATATAATCAATAAATAAACTGAATATCATGAGATGTTAGAGAATATATAATGGAATATTCTGAAGACTTGGCCCCAGGTTTGCAAGTCAGACACCAAACGGCCTTGTTGCTGCTGTCACTTGGATCATGCTCAAGAAAGAGTCCTGGGCATCAAGCCTGCCCTGATGCAGGGCTGGGGAACAGGTGGATCTCCAGGTGTTGTTGGACTGCAGTTCCTGTCACTACACCCCACTGGCTGTGTTGGCGAAGGCTGATGGGAGGTGCAGTTCCACAGCATCTGGAGGGCTGCATGTTGCCCATCCCCACCTTAAGGCCAGATTCTGTGTCCATGCCTCCACTTACCCCACTGCTGCTGTTAAAAGACGTCAAGCTGCACCATGCTGTCTGTGTCACTATGAAATGTCTGCTGTAGAGAATCAGACAATGGGGCCTTCCTTAAGAGGATAGACTTGAGACCTGAGTGGTAGGCAAAGCTATTTTAAGATGTCTTGTGTTGGATTCAGACATATTACCTTGTCTTTTATTTTAAAACATGGGAAGTTGGCAACTTGTGACATAAGCAAGAAAATTTGTGTGCATGCAAACATCATTTCATTTTAGTTGATTTTTTACTAGCTCAATAACATTGTGGGCCAGGGTTTCTTCAGGCAGAAAACTCGGCCTGTTCAGCTTTAAAAGCAGGTATGGGAAGGATTTTGACCTGAGGCTGTTAGTTCGGATGGCGTTTTGTCCAAGTGTAATTCTGTCTAAATGGATCCTGCTGAGGGAGCGTTCATCTGGCACAGCCATCCTCAAGAAAATTCAGGTATCCTTCAGAAATGTTGGATGTCAGCTTCCATGAACCTCACACAGCACGGCCAGAGTCAGGAAGTTGTAGGCCACAGAGAATTGGTTAGCTCTCAGAGAGGAGGCATAGACAGCTTTCCATAGTGCTGCCTGTAACTTCATTCAGGCCCACCAGCAGGCATTTCCCAAATGCAAAATTCTCTCTGCTGTAGTGTAGAAGATGGAGGAGAGAAGTAGGGAGGGAGGGAGAATGTGATGTGTTCTGATAAAAATGCAATAATGTTTGTTTGTTTATTCTTTTGTATTCAGGATCCCTTCCGCCCCCTCCACCTCCAATAAGCAGAAATGGTAGCACTTTGCGGGCATTGCCAGCTACTCCTCAGCTTCCTTCCAGAGGGGGATTCGATAATAAAGTGAGAGCTGGAGCAGTGCCGCCACTGCCTCCTGACAGGCCTGGTTGCGGAGCCCCTCCGCCACCTCCTCCACCCTCATCTGCCATCCGAAATGGCTTCCAGGAGTCTTCCTGTGATGGTAAGTGAAGATAGCCCATTCTGGATGTGTGAAGCAGGAGAAATGGGGCTGGGGGCTTTCAGCCTCCATTCCTTTGGTACAATGTCTGCAAGGGTACTTGTGTGTATGGGTGTTTACAGGGAGGGTTCACCTTTCCTCTGAAGGAAAACAGGGTCCCTCCCAGAGAAGGAGAGAAAGGAGCCCTAATTGCATGGCAAGAGCCCTCTGTACAGGAGGACTTGGAACCCTGTGCTGTAACCACCCTCAGAGAACAGGGCATGTTCAACCTTGAGAAGAGAAGACTGATGAGGGACATGATATCTCTCTAGAAGTACCCCAAAGGCTGTCACAAAGAGGAAGGTCAAGATCTCTTCTTGCTAATGCCAGAGTGCAGGACACAGAATTATCAACCCAAGTTGCAACAACCCACATTCAGGAAATATTTCCTCACTGTCAGAGCAATACGACAATGGAACCAGCTGCCTGGAGAGACCATGGGCTCTCCCACACCAGAGACATTCAGAAAGAAACTAGACAGCCATCTGAGTGGGATGGTGTAAATCAGTGACCTGTGACAGCAGAGGGTTGGACTTGATGGCCGTCTTGGTCCCTTCCAAGTCTACTGTTCTGTGAATAACACTGAAATCATAATTATGCCTTCTTTCAAAAAGGATTGAAATGTTATCTGAATATGAAGTTTTGACACAAGCATTTTAGAATTTGTTTACCAAGTTAAGCTAGTTTCTGAAATGTGCTGAGCACATACATACAAGGTGGAGTAAGTGGGTTATTGTTCCAATTCAAAAACATACAATCATTTATCTTTTTGGTATTGTACTCAGTAACAGTTTGCAGATTGCTTGGTGCTGTGCAAAAGTAAGGATTACTAGTAGTGTTGCATTTCCTAATGAAACTGCATAAGAGCAACACATTTCCTCTGCCCTATAGAGGAAGAGGAGAGACCCTAAGTTGAGGAAATTCGTATGTGTCTGAACTTAATATATAACCAACAGCACCATCTTGTACATGTTTCTGGAGAAGTGAGCTCAGCCGTACTCCTCAGGGTTTACTCTCAACTTAGCATAGGATTGGTTTATAAAACTCAAAGAGTATACAACGATTTATCAATCATGCTAAACCAAGAGGAGGCAGTCTTTGGGGACCGTAGTTGCATAAGAGAAATTGCCCACCACAAAATGGATGACATAGGAGGCATTGCTAAGGATAAGTAACCTGCCCAAAGGACTGAGTGTAAGGCAGACGTGGGGTGTGAGCACCAGCACGTTTCCCTTGAACTCAGTTTCCAGCACCAACAAAAACCTATTTCACAGCATCCTAATGGCTAGCAATAAGAACAGTAATAATTTTTATAAGTGGCAGGCGTAGAGCACCCTTAGTGGACTCCAGAAAGTAGCAAATGAGTCCCATATTACTTGCCCTAAGCCACAGAAGTCCATTTTATATTAACAGTGAAAATGCTAATGGAAGTTCCTTGAATGAGTGTCTTAACGGAATTTTGTGTTCATGTGGCATGACCTAAACACAAAAGGATGCAGCAGAACACTCTCCAAACGTTGTTCTTGTATGTTATCTAGATGAGTGGGAGAGCAGGTTTTCCTTCCATCCTCTGTCTGATTTGCCACCTCCAGAGCCGTATGTGCCCATGAACAAAAGTTACCCCAGTAAACTGGCAAGGAATGACATCAGAAGTAAGTATTTTCTCATGAGGTTGCTTGCTTAAAGAGAACTGTGTATGTGATTACTACGTAAGATGAAAATAAATGGGGGGTTTTGCACATTCATGCATGTCAGTGATGGTCGTTTTTAAATGAGAATCCTAAATGGCAAAGCTGCAGAAAGTTCCCATGGGCTCTATCAAAACAATTTGGGAGGGAGACTACCTGTAGCCACCTTGAGTTCCACAATGGGAGAAAGGAGGGATAGAAATATACCAAATATAATATAAAAATAATAAAATCAAACTTGTGTTCTAACACTGCTTTGCGCCCTGACAATTTCTCCCAGCAGTTTCCTTAGAAATACTGCAGTGGATCACAAGCGCAGTCAGTCAGTCAAATGTTTGAAAAGTAGTCTTAGGTAAGTTGAGCTCTTTGTTGTGAGTGAAGGCAAAGGGAGCTGGAGAACTGCCGTCCCAGGGAAACAAGGGCCACTAACTAGTCCATCAGCCTCTGCCTACCTCCTCCTTCCCTATGGGTTTGACAAAGGAGGAGCACTGGGAGCTCATCATCATCAGCTGGGCAGCTCTTCTGACTTCCTGGCTATTTCCTCCATACTTCTCTGCTTGTCTTAATGGGAGGTGTCAGAATTGTTGGCGGTTTGGTGAGTGCAGCATGTAGCTAGGCTCTGCTTCTGCATCAGTTGCACTTTTATGGCCAGGAGCAACATGGACATTCACTTAGTAAACAGTACATTCATTATTTCCCCTTTTCATTCAGCTGTTGCTGGTATTTTAAATGAACTGGTGTGCATGCTTTGTTTACTAATTTCATACAGCCTGAACATAAAATCTGACTCCACACACTGTCTTTTTCAGTTGATTTGATCAAGGTGATGCATGCAGGATAAAGCTCACACAGTGATATTTTTGTGGTGTGGCTAGTTTCACAGAAGCATTTCTTAGACTTAAGCAGAATGTTTAAAACTGTTCACACAATCCGTGTCCATAGTTTTTTTTAAAGGCCTTGGGGTAGTTCAGCCTTGTAAATATGCCAACAAAAGTTGCTGGGGCCTGGCAGAAGAAGGTTGAACCTGAGGAGCTGAATGTCTATATTAGCTGCAAAGAAGAGGAATTTCCTCCTGTCCTCTGATCTCTACCCTGGGTGGGGTTTCCTGGATTGGATCACCTGGTGCTAGTGCTTGGATTCATGGCTTCTTGAGTTCCACTTTGATTCTGCCAGCAAGCACACATGAAGAGTGCTCAAAGTCCACTTGGGGTGGGAAATGGTATAAAAACATGGTCTCCAATGACATTTTGGAAATGTTAGCATGGAACACAGGAACCCATCTGAATTGTGTTGAGACAGATATCTGGCTGCTGCTTTCTCTGTTGGCTGCTACTTTCTTTTGGGGGCCAAACTCAAAGTTCTGGTTTTAGTTTTTAGACCTCATTGATTGGCTGTCAACAAATGTCTTTTCCCCATATGAACTGTTCTTCAGGCATTTAAGATCTTTTTGACAAGATCCTGTTTAGAACGTCAGCCTGTGAAGAGGCTGGGTTAGCTTTAACTAGGAGAGAGACCTTTGTCTATAGTGGCCCAGCATTTTGGACTCCCTACCAAGGAGAGAGCTATATTGATTCCTTTTTGCTAACTTTCTGAAAACAGGCAAAGTTGTGTGGGTTTTATTGCTATTATGTTTTGTTCCTACTGTTTGATTTGCTTAGATTATATTATTTTTAGAGATACCACAGAGAGAAATGGAGGGTGAAATTATTTTAGTTTGTTAACCATTTTTGAAATTCATATGAAAAAGTGATATAAAATCAATAGCAACATCTAGTGTCTAAACATGAAAAATGATCAGAACAGTAAACTTGGCAAATTGGCTGTGTGAAATTGTTAAGTAGGAAATAATTTGAAAGACATTGTATGTTTTCAAAACAAGTATAAAATGTGAAAAACAAAAATCTAGTTTGTTTAAGTTCTTAGTTTAGATAATAGTTTGCAGAAGAGAACTTTGCAATATTTAATAAATATGTGTTTAAAGATGCACTCAGGGAAAAGGCAAATTTTGGAGTAGTGCTGGAGAAAATAACTTACATTTTCATTAAAATTAGATTAGGAGTATAAAGTAACTCTGAGTCCAGAAGGGAGTATGAAAAAGTAGCTTCTCACCAGAGCTGTTAAAAACAAATATTTGCAGAACTTTCTACGAAGACTTCAAGCCAAAAAACATTTTTGTACTTTTTTGTTGTGCTCAAAAGCCTGCAAACCCATTTGACTGTCTGTATTGTTCAGAAATGAATAAGATGATAAATAAAATAAGCAATGTAGTATAGTGGTTAAATGCTTCCTGACTGGAACTCAGGCAGTCTGGGCTCTAGTCCCCACACAGCCATGGAGCCAACTGTGACTTTGGGGCAGTCACAGACAGCCTACCTCACAGGGTTGTGGATGTGTGGATAAGATTGAGAGCATTAGGAGGATAATGGTGCAAGCTGCTTTGAGTTCATAGTAAGAAAAAAAGGTGGGATATAAAATAAATACCTTGTAGGCATGTCAGACTATCACAGCTGTACGTAAGAACGCAAGAAAAGCCATGCTGGATCAGTCTATCCCATGTCTAGCATCCCAGTCACACTGTGGCCAAAACAACTGTCTGCACGTTCCCCCAGCCGGGGTGGGTGCAAGACCTCTGCCTGCCCAGCTCCTCAGCAACTGGTGCATGCAGGCACGCCGGCTCTGATGATGGAGGTAGCGCCGAGCTAGTAAGGCTAGTAGCCATGGACCGTCCCCTCCACTATTTTCTGTGGCAGTGAATTCCACAGCTTAATCATGGATTGTGTGAAGAAGTAGTACTGTTTTTTACCTATCCAAACCTTCCTACCAGTCAGCGTCATACGATGACACTGGGTTCTATTATTACAGGAGAAGGGAAAAAAATCCTCGCTGCTTTCTCCACACCATGCATAAGTTTAAACGCCTCTATCATGTCTCCTTTTGCGCACCTTGTTTCTAAGTGAAACAGGCCCAGTTGTTGTAGCTGCTGTTCACAGGGGCGTTGCTGCAGCTGCTCGATCATTTGTGCTGCCCCTCTCTGCACTTTTTCCAGCTCGATAATGTCCTTTTGCAGGTAAGGCAACCAGGACTATACACAATATTCTAAGTGCAGTGCACCAAATAATTGTGTGATGGCGTGCAATCTTGTTCTATTTTCAGTTCCGTTCCTACCGGGACTTTGCCTTTTTCATAACAGCTGTGCACTGGGTTGATTTATGACTTGAGCTGTCCACCACAACCCCAAGATCCCTTTCTTGCTCAATCACTGCTAGTTCAGATCACATCCGTGTATAACTGAAGTTGAGATTTCTCTACACTAGCATTTGCTGTTTTGATTCCCATTCATTCAGCTTGGAGAGATCCCTTTGCAATCCCTTCTGATTTTAACCACTCTAAATAGTTTCATAGTGTCATTAGCAAACTTGGCCATTTCACCACTTACTCCCAATTCCAGATCATTTATGAATGGGATGCTTTTATCTGTCACATTTAACAAACACCAGAAAACTTTCAAGTGAGTTAATAGAAGAAGCCAGTGGATGGCAATCTCACTGGGGCAGTTTATCCTCTCTGGGTTGCAGCCTGAGCTTTAAAGGAGCCCCAGGGTTAATTCCTTAAGCATTCAGACTGCAACTCAGAGTGGAAGCAGTGCCTGGCAGGTTTCAGAGCCATCAGCCTCCACTGAAAGTAGCAGTTCCAGCCATGTTAAATGTATAGCTTAGGCATAAACTTCAATGAAAAATGGTATTTTAAAATATTAATGCAAAGCTGTTGTGTGTGTGTGTTTTTTTCCCTTTGAGGTGGATCCAGCCGCAGGGAAAGAGGTGCTCCACCACTCCCACCTATTCCGAGGTGAAGTGAGCTGCTGCTCTCCTTCAGGATAAGTGCTGTTCCAAAACTCTCAAAGTTGTCTGCATTTGGCATTAGCAGGAGGCTTCCTTCCCCTTTCCTGTGGTGCATTTAAACACAAATCCCACCCCCATGCAGTGTTTCAAGTCAAACTGGTAGAATCCAGATTGTTTCCTCTTAATTTAGTTTTAATTCCATGAGACTGAAGTGGTTTCTTTAGATTCTTGCCTTAGCCTATCCTTTTCATGGTATCGCTATATTCTCCGCTCCTTCAAACTGGGGGATACTTTTCCACATTGCTGCACTTGCTAAATATGGCTCATAATGTGCTTTCCCAAACTGCAGTCTGTGTGAGATTGCTGATCAAATTGGATTGGATCGGTGTGACTTTTATAAAGCTGTGTAGCCCAACAGTTAATGCTTCCCATCGCTAGAAAGAGGTGGGGACAACTGTATGACATTTTTTTATTCATTCAGGCAATCTGTTAAATCTGTCATGGATTTTAGCTTTTGAAAGATCAAAAGAATGTTGCTGTTAAGAGTCGGTATGACATTCCCCCAGTCCACAACAAATTCTGATGCTACAGTCCAGGCAACATGCACACAGAAGTACTCTTCCAAGTGAGTAAATCTGGCTGGATAGAGGATTGCTGGCCCAACCAGATACTGTGCATCAACCCCAGAAGATGGGACAGTGCATGAAGAGCCACTTTAATCCCTGCTGATGAATATCTCCAGAGTAGACCAGCAGACCAGATTCAGTCCCATTCCACCCCCCTTCCCACTGGCCCTTCCAGCCAAACAGCTGAGTGGGTGGAGATTCGTCTTTTCAAACAAAAGCAGCGCACATCACGGCAGCGTGGCGCATACTCCATTGCTGGAGGATGCTGAAACACAACAGTCCTGAAGCATTGCTGTCTTGGAGTTAAACCTTCAGTGTTGGTAAGCGTCATCTTATTAGGCTTTTCCTCTGCGGGGTGGGGAGTGACTCCCGTGGCTTCTGTGACATTGATTACTGAAAATCTCTCTACTTGGAACTACCCAAGACAAATACTCAAAAATGAAAGCATATGTAAGCAACAGTAAGACACTCTCTGACTTTCTGCTAGCATTTCTGCCCTGAGCTTCCATTTCTTTCATGGTACAGTTGAACTGTTCTTTTTTTTACTATTAAAGTATTTTTAATTTTGATCTTGGGTGCGCAGACACCTTTCCTTTTCCCTTTCTGTGGCAGCTGTTAATCAAGCATCCAGATGCAAGCAGGAAATGTCTGACGGCAGGACACATTCCATTGACCTGTTACAAGCTTTTACTTAGTTTTCATTTTGAGTGCAAAACAGAACAGCATTTAATATCCGACCTTGCTGCAAAATGTAATTTACTTTTATGGAATTTTTCTCATCTGATAAAACTGTAAGAAAGGACTTCCACGTTTTATTGTGGGGTGGATTATATTGTTAGCATCATGACAGTTTTACAACCCATTCACTTTACTCACCAATATGGATACATGACAAGACAAAACAGAACCCTTAGGGGAATTATGGCTCTTGCCTGGAACTCACCTGATGAATAAAATGACTGCCTATGGAAGCAATCTCTGAAGATGGCTTTCAAGAACCTGCTTTGTATTGGTTTGCAATTTGAAGCCCACAGGATGACCTTTCTGGTGCTTCTATGATGGAAGAATTGGGAAGTTTGACATATTCACATGTGTCATGTAACATTGTACAATGTTGAGTTGTGGAGGGACTGTTAGAACAAAACCTCTTTAGAGATGCACATAAAAAGTAAACATATCATTGGGGAAACTCTGAAAAGGAATTCAGAAATATATACAATGGTGCTTTGTGTGACTAGCATTAGCAGCCAAAATTGCACCTTTTCTACTTTGTGCATTTCCCCAATGGTAAATGAAGATGGAATTTGGTATGTAGAAATGGAGGAAATAGCCTAGCAGTTTCTGGCAGTGTGTACATGTATGAAACTTTTTAAATGACTTTTTTGATTAAACATGCTTATGCTGGTCAACTTTTGGCCTTAGAGGTACATTCCATGAACTTTTTCTTGTGGTGGAATCCTTAAAAATAAAAATCCTAAAAAATTCAGGTATTTAAAGATTCAACTATGTGGATCTCACTGTAATATCAGAGCTCATCTGAGAGGGGTTTGCATAGAGTTTGTTGCAACACTTTTCACAATCATGCACTCTGAAGTAATAATGAATTTCTCACCAGATTGTTCCTCTTTTCCTATGTACTTAATAACCTGACATATATGCAGTATTAATGGTTTCAGTTCCAGTCCAGTTAACCCTTGTATGTGCAATGTTTTATAGAAAATAGGCTGTAAAAGATTAAATTATTAAATTACATTTTGTCACTGGAACTGGAACATTAGAACTTTCCGATAAATGAAGTACAAAGTGTTATACAGTGATTTTTTTAAAAAACTAAACAAAAATGCTGCAGAAACAGTGCATTTGGTTTAACAGTCAATTCCCTTTTCAATAGTCAGATGGAGATGATGGAGAAGAACTGAATTCACTGCAGTGGTTAGTGCTTCTATAAACTAGAGATCAGCCAAGGACCTGGGTTAGGTAATACAGTAGAGTTTTAATGGTAGAAACACTAGCGGTAGAGGTGGAAACATGACCCGATCTGTCAGTGGCTCTCTCGCAGCAGCATTCACTCATTTCTGTCAGTGGACTTGCCCTTGAATGAGGGAAGTTCTGTGGCAGCATTCTTCACACAGTCGTGGGAAACTGGACAGCAAGGAACAAGTAAACATGAAGAGCCAGGAGTGGGAAAGGCTGTGGTTGTGGCAGCACCTTTCGGACTGCAGCCACTCAACACAATTGTCCCCACAGCCATGGGCCAAGGCAAGCCCAAACATTCAGGCAGCTGTGCTGTTCCATAGCAACAAACTAGTTCGAGCAATTGGCATTCCCCCAGATGTAGGCTGTTTGTAAAGCGAAGGGGGCTTCACTGGCCTGATGAGGAACAGAAGGCTTTCTATCATGACAGGGATCACTAGCAGGAATATATCAATGCTAGGAAAAGCCATCTCTCCCCATCAGCTAAGCACAGAAAGAACGAGAGGCCTGAGCAGGCACAGTATATGCCTTTGTCCCCACTAACAGAAAGTCCCAGTGCTTTGAGACTGAGAGGTGTGACTCCACTGCACTGCTGGAGAAAGCCAGACAAATAACGGAAGGAAGAAACCTTACCAGCATCCTATAAACAGTATCCATTCCTGCGGTACTCAGAAATGCTTGAGATTCAATGTCTGTTTTACTCTGTTGACTGTGCCATTGGCAAATTAATTAAAGTGCAATATCTGAAATTCTGACCAAAGCCTTAGCATTTAAAATGCAACGTGGCCTTCCGAGTGAAACAAAGAAGCTAGCACTTCTCCTCAGAGGATAAAATTTTTGCACTTTCCTTCATAATAGGAATCTTCCTCAAAGTGTGTATCTAAAGTAGTGGCAGAAAGTTCTTCAAGGAAGACAATAGGACTTGTTTGGATTGTGTAAAGTATAACACTTTTTATTTCACCAAATCTATAAAAAACAGCATTTTAATATATCATTGTATTATAGATATATTAGAATAAGTATTTATTTGACTGTGCACAATGATCAAATGGCAGAAATCAAAATAGCTTCTTCCTTATGGTGCCTTAGGTCACAGTCCTGTATCCACTCATCTGAGAGAAAGCTCCATGAAACTCACTGGGGCTTACTTTTGAGAAGGCGTTTATACGATTGTACCATTAATATATTTTAAAACCACTTTTTAAATGTCAAAATGGATGTTGTCTTGAAAATATATCAGATCTTGTCCCTTGGGCAACTATTTCAAACATACCATAATTACTCTATGAAATCTCAGCTCATTTGTTGTCTAGCATCTGCAAGCATTGCATTTGATAAAACATGGCAAATTGCCTTTTTTATTGAAGCAAGTTCTGTGATTTGTCAATGAAATTGATAATGAGTTTAGGACTGAGGTCTTGAAAAAGATAAAAGTTTGAAAATTCTGTAGGTTGCATTTTATGAGTTAATGAATCAATTGGATTGTGAACTTGGCAAACATTTTCAATATGTAGTGCATATCCCCACATGTGTTTAAAAGTTGTACAGGTGTACAACATTGCCATATTGTAAATAAGATGTTTTATTTGACTTTGCTTTGGATTATTAACATGCATATCTTAAAATATCTGTATGTTATCACTGTGACTCAAATGAGAGAAACTAAAAGACAAATGAAAGCTCATGTCTATCCAAAATAGCAAATAAAATGGGAGCAAAGTTTTCCAGTTCGAGCTGTGCTTGCATTTGTGTTATGAAAACATGAATATATGATGTAGATTGATGCATCTTGCCCTCATCCTGCAACAGTGATTCACACACAAACCTGTTCACACTTGCGTGCTCCATCAGGATGGCATATACAGTGTCCTGCTAGTGCTGGTCAATCGGGATGGTTATTCTTCAGTTTTAAGACTCAGACTATACTCATACCCCCCACATGCACACCTTATCACTTGCATTTCAGAAATATATTTCTTCATTTAAGATCTTGCTTTTACATGTTGAATCCATATATATATGTATTCACAATAAATAATTCCTATATTAGGATTTCCTTTGTAAAGCATTCTAGTGCAATTGGCCAGCCTCCCTCTCAGGGTTGTTGTAAGGATAAATGTGGAAATAAAAGAATTGTGTAAGCTGCCAAGAGTTGCTTGAAAAGAAAAAGGTGGAATATAAACAAATATCAGGCATGTCCAAATTTGACTGAATTCAGTGGGAGCTAAGGCCTGCATTCATTGTTTGTCTTATGTGGAGTGTACGTACTGAAGTGAATGGGATGCAAGTTAGATGCAATAGTGGATACAACATGAAGTGTGCATACTTTAAAACACTTCAGTTTTGCTGACGTTGATACTTTAGCATGCCTAATTTTCTTTGGATTGTGCTGCAGCCATGAAGACAATGAACAAACTCCCACTGATGCATTGTAACTATGTGAATTTTAATTAAACCTGTAGGCCTGTTCCTACTTAACATTTCCCTCTATGGGAATGATCCTCTAAAAAGGGATACTGGATTTCTAACAGCTCCTATTCAGATATTTCTCCTGTATTACGAGCAAATAATTTTTTTGAAATTTAGTGACATTAGACAATGCAACATGTAAAAATAAATATGAGATTCCCCTAATGTTCAGGAACATTCTGGAGATACATTCTTTGATCTAATCTCCTCAACAAACTTTTGAGAAAGTAAGAATGAAGTTTACTATCTCAACACTAGGTGGTGCTTCTTAATGAAACAGCAACATCAGCCATGCTGAACAGCAGTCATCACTGATACCAAAAACCAATGATTAGATCCATGGCAGCCCGAGTCTTGAAGTGCAGAAAGTCCAAACGAACCATCTCCTTTATGATTAAAAATACAATCAGTTTAAGAGCTGACAACATGCTGGAGCCCATCCTCTGTCACGTGAGGAACTCATCTCACTGTCTAGATACCCGAAATTTGATTATTTGAGGGTAGGAAGAGACAACCAAAAACAATAATAAATTTACATATGGAGGATGAATTGCAGATAATGTGCTTATAATGTTTCTCTTACATTTGTAATGGCTGCCAGAGAGAAGCTGTGTTATTCTACTGCAGAAGGGCTAATCCCAGCCTGCTGTTCTCCAGATGTTCTGGGCTACTTCTCCTTTCAGCCCCAGCCAGGAGTACCAAGGATTAGGGATGATGGGTGGAGTAGTACAAAATATTTGGAGAGTAGCAGGTTGGGGGTAACAACTAGAGCTCAGCAGATATAGTCGGTTATACATAGTTAATCCATGAAGATAGGTTTGAAGTAATTCCTCATAACCACCAGCCCATTCAGTCAGACTAATATTCCTTGCAACTTGTGAGATATATTACCCATTTTATTATTGCCTTTATTGTAATATTTTTATTGGAGATTGTTCTGAATACATTTCCTTTGTTTTTTAATACTATTGTTTATGCATTTGCTTAGAACCATTAGAAAATATAAACAAAGTTTCATGATTGTTGCAGATGCTTACTGAGGTGATGGTGTCTGCTGGTGCCTGAGGTAAGATTTAAATTCTAGAAACTACCTAGTCCTAGACAGTGCAACAGATAATATGCAAAGACCCATTCAGTTGCTTTTCCTTTCACTTTGCTGCCCAGCTCTCAATATAACAAGTATCTCTGTTATTGCCACACCTTAACACATTTCAGAAAAGGAGCCGTTGACCCATGTCCAGTATTCATCCTGCATAGGTACACAGCAAGGTGAGGATCTGATCTGGGGAAGGCAACAACTCCTTTGTGCACCTGGCAACATAGCAAGAAAAAGCGGGGGGGGGGGGGGGAGGCTCAGCCCTCCTGAATCAGCAGCAGCATTTGCGAAGAGGCAGGTGGAAAAGAGCTGCCTCTCAGGCCCCTTCCATGCAGCCCAAGAACCAATAAAACTCTTAAAGATGTCACATCCCCAATTTTTTTTTGGGGGGGGGGAGGGGACAACAATTCAACACCAAATTACCAGATTTTATTGTTTTCATTTTTATACCACCCCTAGCTAAAGCTCTCTGGGCTGTTTACAAAGTATAAAAGCAATACAATACAATAGATAATACATTTAAAGATTAAAAATAATTTAAAAGAACATGAAAAGGCAGTAAGAGACAACTGAAAAGGACCTGGCCAAGAGTAAAAGACAGGCATCTGGCTAATCATTTCAGGTCCCTGAATGGCCAGGCAGGAGGGCTGTCTTAACCTGGTGCTGAAAAGACGGCAAATTTGGTGCCAGGTGGACCACATCAGGGATGTAGTTTTACAGAAGGGGGGCAACCACCTAAAAGGCCCTCCTCCAGTTGCCACCCTCTGAGCTCTTGAGAGGGTGGTAGCCAGAAGGTGGCTCCAGAGGCTGAGCTTCGTGTTAGGGTATACTGGGAGATGCACTCTGGTAGGTATTGTGGTGGCAAGCCATGTAAGACTTTATAGGTTAAGACCAGCACCTTTAATTAGTACTGGAAGCATACAGGCAGCCAATTGCAGGTGGGCCAGAACTGGCCTTATGTGTTCGGACCTGTGGCTCCCAGCTGGATCTTCAGACCATCTTCAAGAGAATGCATTGTAATAATCCAATCTAGAGATTACCAGCGCCTAGATCACTGAAGCTTGGCTATCGCTGCCAGGAAGGGGTGCAGCTGGGCCATCCATCGAAGCTGAGCAGAAAGCATTCTGGGCCACCGATGCCACCCGAGTCTCAAGTGACAAATAGGAGGCTGTTCCCGAATAAAGACAGTTGAAGCATATGCGATCCAAGTCACCTCAGCCATCCCATCCCTAGCAACTACAGATTTAAAAGAAAAGGCTGAATATGGAGGGAGGAAAACAACTCAGGAAACATGGGTTAGAGGAGAGCGGTAAACGGGAAGGGCAGCCGTAGAGGCATCGAGCTAATAAAATCTGGCCCACCACAAGGATCCCTGCAAGGGCTGGGTTGCATCCAGTATTGGCCTACCTTTTCCCATTAATTTCAATTAGCCTACTCGAAACAGGGCTAGTATTAGTTGCAACTCAGAGTAACCACGCATACCGTCGGGTTTACTCCCCGGAGCGTGCACACAACGCCCAAGGCGATAAATCGACGCCTCCTCACGTGAGCGCGAGCCCTCTCCCGCCCACCGAGCAGGGGGCCAAGTAGCAGCCGCTTCCCGTAAACATCCCTGCGACCCGCCTAACAGCGGGGAGGCCGCCTGCAGCAGAGAGCAGGCAAGTCGCGGCGCGGCGGGGCGGGAGTCCCGACACTGCGCGGGGCCGCGCCGTCCAGCGCTGCGAGCGCCAGCAGCGCCTTTCTGCTGCCCGCAGCAAAGGTAGCGCCCCTCGGCCGCCATCTTGAGCAGGCGCCTTGGCTCCGGCGCGGGGCGGGCTTTGCCGGGCAGTCCCGCCTCTGCGGTGAGCTCACACGCAGCCGGCTCAGCCCCACGCCCGCAGCTCCCGGCCAGGCGGCGGCGGCGGCGGCGGGACTCCCAGCACCGAGGGCCGGAGATGCTTGTCCTGTTTGTCCTCGCGTTGCTTCAGCCCCCGTAACAGGGCGAGGGCAGGTAAACAAGGCAGAGGCGCTTCCGTCCCCTTCCCCGCCGCCGCGTGCGGGAAGCCGCCTCGGGGCTTCCCTTCGCCACGCCGTGCGCCTGGCTCGCCGTGGACAGCAGGCAGCAGCAGCTGCTGCGGGGACATGGGGACAGAGGACAGCTTGCCCGCTCCTGGGGCAAAAATAGCCAACGAGACCGCCAAAAGTGAAGCGACCCCCGAGGGAAGAAGGCACGCGAAGGGGCGGCCATTCTGGTGCCTCTGACTGAGCCCTAATTCGGACTCCTGGCTCGGGAGGTCAGGTGATGAAATCCGTCTGGAGCCTCCTCGTTCGTGACCGGCACGGGTGGCGTGTTTGGGGTGTACGGCAGCCTTCCTCAACCCTCCTGGACCACAGTTCCCAGCATTCTTTAGTCAGCACGGGGGATGCTGGGAGCGGTAGTCCAACACATCTGCTGGGCACCCAGTTGGGGAAGGCTGGTAAACGGCTGCATGGGAGCGGGGGCTGGTCTCCTGCTTGAGATGAATGCGCGTGTGTGTCGCAGAAGCGCCGTGACTTTTCCGTGGGCTTTGCAGTGTATTGGAGCTGCCCCTTTCGTCCCTTCTGGTTTAGCTGCGTGCGCCAATGTCGCTGAGGTCCAAATCCAGTCAAAACTATCCGCCAATAAATTCCCCTCCTTTGTAAACGGGATCCCATTGGCTGCAGTGGGCCTTGCAAGGTGGCGTGCTCCTGATGCAGTTTGTCGCTGGCGAATGGGCGTGGGCGGAGCCACCCTTCTGTTCAAACGGAGGCCGGCTCCCTCGTACGTGCGGTTTTTGTGCATGCGTGTTCTGCCCTTTCACGTGTTGCAAACCAAATAAGCGACGTTTCTTTTGCGTCTCGATTGCAAGATAAGTTTTCCTTTTACATCAGTGCAAATTAGAGGACCAGCTTCTTAAAGTGGCCTCTTTGAGGTGTAGTACGGAAAGCAGCGCTACTGGAGATTTGTTATTTTTAGATAAGTTCCAGTAAAATGATGGTGATGATGTGTATTTGGAAGGATAAATCATCATCCGTGTTGTTAATAATCTCATTTGCAAGCACACATTCATCACCATCATTTTATTGGAACTAACCTGAAGGTTAACAGTGTACTTCAACAAAAATGTCAGCCTAATGCACAGCTGCTGGGACAAAGGCAACTTCCCTATTTTGGCCATGCTTAGAAAAGGAATATAAAGCTCCCAACATTATGCTTTCCTTATACAAATCTGTGGTTGACTACATTAGGAATATTGTGCACCATGCCTCAAAAAATTGCTTTAGAGTTGGCAAACACAGCCAAAATGATCCTGAGACTGGAGCAGCTCCCCCAAGCATGGGTTACAATATCTAAGACGGCGTAGCTTAGAAGAAAGGCACATATTAAGAGACATAGTAGAGGTGTGCAAACTTATGCATGATGTGGAAAAAACGGATTTTAAAAATCTCTCATAATAGAAATAGGCTATCTAATGAAGCTAAGCAATGGGAGATGAAGAAGTCAGATACAATGAGGACTTCTTATAGCACATAAAATACAGAATTTGGCACAATAAAATGTAGTGATGGCAACCAAAGGGGAATACACAAATTCATGGAGGAGAACAACTTCAGTGGCTGTTAGCAGTATTATTGCTATATTTATATCCTAACTTTTTTTCCTTTCAAGGAACTCGAGGTCACTTACATAATTCTACTTCTGTTCTCAGTTCTTATTCTCACAACAAAAGCTCTGTGACAAAGGTTGGGCTGAGTGTCTGTGTCTGGCCTAAAGTCACCCAGTAAGCTCCATGGATGTGTGGGAATGAAATCTCAGATCTCCTGAGTCCCAATCCTGCACTCTTCACCATTATGCCACACTTGGCTCCAGTATGCTTATATATCCTAGTTATTGGAAAATATGAAAAAGCGAGTGTTGTGTGCTTACGTCCTGCATGCAGTTGGTTGGCCACTGTGTGAACAGAATGCTAGATTAGATGGGTCTTTGGTTTGATTCAGCATGGTTCTTGTTATATAATTCTTGATAAAAATGCCAGCATTCTCCGTTTTCAGACTCACTACTCACTTTTTATCACATTGTTATTTGAACCAGAAGTTAGGTGGTTTCAGTTTCAATTGAAATCAGAGCAACTTTAGTTAAATCCATTTATTTTTAAGAGAATGTAGCAATCTCGCCTTCACCAAATTGTATTTTCAGTCCTAGCATAGTAAACTTTGAAGTAAACTTTCATTGATGTTTTCTTCTCAAATAAATAGAGCTTCAGTATTTAATTGACCATTTTGTTTAAACCTTTCAGATGTTTAAGCCTTTTAATACTAAACTGCAGATGATAAATACCACCTTAAAAAGCATTCATCCTGTGTCCCTTAGGGAACAAGGAAGGAATCTAAGATTATGCTTGCTGTGGTGGATGCATGTATCATTTAAAAAGAAAAGAAGTGGACATTTTTCTTAAGTGTTGGTTTTGCATAAGCAAATTTGTTCAGGCAGTCAAGTAAAAACTCTATGATTGATCTACCACAATTTCTTTGGCTGCAAATCTGTAGCAGTTTACTTCAATGAACGTAATAGGACTTAGTTCGAGTAGCCATATATAGGATTGTGCCATTAATCAGGGAAGAACCCTATAAATAATTGTTTATAGGCTTGCAGCATTACTCATCTGCCCTTATGCCTAGCATTTTGCGGGGGTTGTAACATGGCATGATTTCAGTAAGATTATTGTGGGCTTGATCATCAACAGGACCAGTGTGAGTTTGGTGACATATCACCATCTGGCTACCATGATCAGAACAGACAATGACTCTAGGATGGTTGGCAAGTCAGCAGAGTTGACTTCAACCTACATTTTCAGATGATCGAGTAGTTAATGTGACTTGACCATAATTATATATGGGAGGGTTTGCAATAGGGAGGCCTTAAAGCAACTGTGGAGAATAAGCATCTGGTCCTTCAGATGTTATTAGACTATATTATTCCTCACCATTGTCTGTGTTGTAGTCCAACTTTTGCAGGGCCATATACTCCTCACCCATCCTCAGGTTATAGTCAGTATGATTTGAAATGTGACTGTTGAAAAAGTCTTACCAATTGTTTGGTCTAGTATATTTTAAATTTTGATATAAGATTAACAAGATAACGAGTTTAATATTTATATTTAATTACAAACACATGTGTACACAATATGGGTAAATCCAGTGTAAGGCATACATACACATTTAATGGGTCTACTCTGAGTAAAATATTTGTTGGCATTTACCCATTAACCAATTCTATTTCACCTTTTTATTCTGCCCCTCCTGCCATTTAATCCTTGCAACATCTTTTTGAGGTAGCTTTATTTTGAGAAAGGGTGACTAACCTACTGCCACCTACTGAGCTTCACAGCTGAGGATTTAAATACGGTCCTCCCTTTGTCCTAGCCTGATACTCCTCCACCAGACAGTGGCCTTTACCATGGATGAGTGACTGACTGCGTTGCTCTTGGAGAGCCCCACAGTTGTAGCAGGTGGCCAGTGGGAGGAACTTCTCATGCTGCTAGATTCTCCAAGGACTATTTCAGGGCCAGGGGGCAAAGGAATTTTAAAAAAATGGTAAGTTGTCATCTATGCAGTGACATTCTTGGAATGTTTTGCAAAATTTGCCTGTAGTTGTAGTAATAAGTAGTTCATCATTTCAATCTAGTCCTGCTAGGCTCCAAAATACTTATGAATTCTTCAGATCTGTGCAGCCATGATGGACTAAAGGATGGGTGCCTGCAAAGTAAAAAATCCATCTCTGTCTAATTTGAGGCTAGCAGGAGTCTCAGCAGGTTCACAGAATGAGGAAATCTTAACACCATTATTGGATTCTTTGGAAGAACATGCTGAAATAAGCCAAAGTGACCTGCCCGAAGTTGGGTTGTACTTTTAATTCCTCCTTGCTTGCTTAGGCTCAGGCAAGTGATGAAATTGATGTAAAGAAAATCAATGATGAAAAGAAAATTTACAAGTGTTGTAAATTGATTTCAGAAAATCTGGCTGTGTCTGTAATCAATATAAAAAAGATGCTATGAATCTGTCATAAGAGTAAGGCCTGTGGGCCTCAGCCTGCCCCTCGACAGCTTTATTTGTGCTTGCCAAGGTACCCTACCCCTCTAACTTTTTTGCAGATTAACACGAGTTCTTACTGGCAGTTGCAGTCATTTGTAGCAAAGTGAGGACCTCCTGCTACTGCCATCTTAATTTCCCATGGATGCCACTGGGCTAGAAAGTGAAGCTCAGAAACTGCAGGTAGCTGCATATTGATCCTTTCCTTTGAGACATACCGAACCAACAAGAAGGAGAAAAACAAACAGGAATCTGAAAATTAAGGATTTCCCAGTATTCTTTAGTGTATTGTCATTCAGATCCCACCTCTGCCTTGTACACAGTAGTTTGGGTGGGTTACTTGATAAGCCTACAATGGGAGCCATTTTGTGGCTGTAGCCATGGCAGTTTCTCAAATTGTCAGATGTGCCTGTGGGTCCCGAATGGTACCTACCTCTGGTCTACAGTTTTTCTTTTCTCTCTGATATGTTTCTTTTTGAATTCTTTTCAGTACTAAAGAAAGACCAGGCATAATTCAGGATGGTTTCCCCTTTAACGCCTTCCTAGCTCTTATCTTTTTAGCTGTGAGAGCAAAAAGAGAAACTTAGTAAGAGACATGTGGATCAGCATCTGATTAAAAAGACAGTAATTTCTCAGAATCAGAGTAAACATTAAAGGCGGGTAACATACTAGTCAAAAAAATTTCTCTAGGTTCATAATATAAAGAACAGTGTAGAATATAGTGCAAGAGGTTTTCCACTTCAGGGTGATACACAGGTGATCTTAAGGTCACTAACCATAAGAATAGTCCTTACTGCCAGGTCGATTCATATATACCAGACCATGTTTGGTTTTCTTATTTTAGTAGTGTTTTATGATCCAGCAGCAAATGTTGATTCAACTTCAGGTTGTTTGTCCCTCAACAACCCTGAATTTTGGTTTTAGGCAGAAGTTGTTCATGAAACCAGACACAAAGCAGAAGCAGCACAAGTGCAAAAATGACTCGCTTACTCTGGTGTGAGCCTGCCAAACTATGAATGGTTTCATCCATACTTTGTCATTGCATGTGAATCGGGCTGTTGAACTGAAATGGGCAAATCAGACCTTTGCTCTGTAGACAAAATGAATAAGGTACTGAGGGATATTTACATAGGGTTATTATCTGTAGAGAGAGAAATCTTAAGGATTCACATTTAGGGAACAACTTTATCTGGGTTTGCACAATGAAACAACCCATGGTTGGTTAATCATGGATTGTTTGGGAGGACATGGGTACAAGTCTACTGGCACCTGGCTGCTTGCCTGCTTCTGCTTTGCTTTGCTAAGCAGTGTGGAGATGCCTGGTCTCCAGGTGTGCTCCTGGATGTCCAAATCTGGACTCTAGGTCCCTGTTCTACAAGACACATCTTGGAGGGACTCCCTGTCGCCTGTCAGTAGGCCATGAAACTCAGTTACGGAATTGGCCACCCTGACCTTCATGATGGAGAAACCTCCTTCAGCCAGAGTATCTCCTGGAGTTTTTGAGGAGTGCCTGGAAGAGCCACATTCCAGTGGTAGCCACGGCTGAAGGAAGAGGGCTGGGGTCAACACACACACACACACACACACACACACACACACACACCCCTGGCATATTGTAGCTTAAATGTCTTACTAGCAATAACTGAGCCTTCACATTTCAACTTTTTAAATACAGAAAAGGTAGGAAACTTGGCTTTCTTGGGAGTAAAGGAGAAAAAGTCTAAGGGTCAGAAAAGAGTGTGCTTTTCTGGACACACGAGAGCCAAATTTGGCCCAGCCCAAGGTTTATATAATGTCCTATCCTACAATGCCCCATGGAGCACTGAAATACCATTTTGTATGGCACTGCCCATACAGCAGCAGTATGGCAGGCCGACAGGAACGAAACTTAACAATCTGTTACAACAAAGAGCTTATAATAGCAGCCAAACAGCCAGAAGCATCATGGAAATTACAAGCGTCATGTGTTACTATGAGGAAGGAACCTGGTGATGCTATGGTTATATTGCTGTTGAATGGCCTAGCTATCTTGTTTGCCCTGCAGATACAGGCATGGTTGAACATATGCAGTGTTCTTTTATTACGTGAGAAGCAGTTGCATCAATTAGATTACAATTATGGTACGCTTTCCACTGCTGCTAGCACTGCAGCCCAGTTCTTTCCTCTGAATCACCTATATCCCATCATGCTGGCTTCTCCACTTGTGTCCAGGCTGGATTTAGTAATTTGGAAACTTTCATCTGGGATTTTTTTTAAGGACTGAGATTTTTACAAAAGACCACACACCTTTGTTTTAATTCAGTTTCAAAAGATAATCACTTAATTATATATTTCAGATATATTCTAGCTTGAGAAATACAAAATCTACAGAAGGGATTATGGCAATTGTTGGCAGAGTGTTAAAACAGGAGCAGGTTACATGTCTGGTGGAAATGACCCCAAACATGAGCCATTGAAGAAAAAACAGGTTAAACTGATGAGGAGTTATGGTGTTACTCACTGGGTTAAGATGGCCCTATTAAACAACAGCAACATCACAATGTAGTTTGAATCTTAAAGTGGTTGCAAAGCAGTTAATGGCTGTATACTTAACCAGATTCAGTCCTCAAAGAATACGCAGAAATCACAAAATGGTTAAACTTACTGAAGAAATTACTTTATGGGAGAACAGAAGGAAAACTAGTGTTCTGTTGTTTGTGGTTCCAGTTCTGAGTTTTGAAAACATTGATAAAATCTGTGTATAAATAAATATAATTTTCTTGGTGCAGAAATGGCATTGCCTTGTTTCAGGGTTTTTACTTATAAGCACAATGTACACACAGCTCTGACCTTGCTCCGCCCCGGCTCTCTCTGTAATCCTCCTATTGCTAGTTCTGTAAACATGCTGGTGCTTAATAAATGATAACAAGGGGCTATGCTGTACATATTTTCAGTACCTGGCAACAAGTGAAAATGCTTTTTGGTTAGAAATCTTGGAGATGCAAGATAAGAATAATTGGTAAACCATAACATCAACTTTATGGTGACAATCAAGTAACACTGTCTTTCTTCTTTTATAGGTCAGGATCCACATGCTAGACATTCAGAAGTGGTGAACAAACATGAATATTTTCACTCCCGTCAGCACAAAAAATCTCTCTTCTGCTGCTAATATGTCTGGTCTCCTTTCAGGCAAATTTGGATACCAGCTGAACTTAACTAACAGTTCTCCTTCTATGTCAATAAGTAAGCTTTTCCCAGCCTTGTTACAATGCTTTGGCATTATCCTTTGTGGATATATAGCAGGAAGGGTTAACATAATCACATCTACTCAGGCCAAAGGACTGGGAAACTTTGTGTCCCGCTTTGCACTACCAGCTCTGTTGTTCAAGAACATGGTCGTTCTGAATTTTTCCAATGTGAATTGGTCCTTCCTGTACAGCATCCTGGTGGCCAAAGCATCGGTGTTCTTCTTAGTCTGTGTTTTAACACTGTTGATAGTCACTCCTGAGAGGCGGTTTAGCAAAGCTGGACTCTTTCCTATTTTTGCTACTCAGAGCAATGACTTTGCACTGGGATATCCTATAGGTAAGAAGTAATTTTACTTATTCATCTTTGTCTTGTCATTGACCTGTAACATTCTGTGCTTTAGAAATTCATGGTAACCATTTGCAGTCATAATGCACAGATGTTTATTGTTACATCTACTAACTTATCTATATTTAATTTAAACCACAATAGTTTCTGCTGCCTTGATCATAAGAAGCGTGAAGTAGCACTATAGAAATAAACATTTTCACATACTGCTGTTCCACATAATGCTTGACTCCCATGGATTCCCATGGGAATACATGGATGACTTCTGAGCATCGAAATTTTGGAGTACTTGCCTTGCAGTTACTTTGTGTTTATTTCAGCAGTTTATGGAGAGTTAAAAGTGTCAGTAACAGGCATGCTTTCAATCTGTCTAATGCAGGGGTGGGCAAAAGCAGATTTCATCAATCAGAAGGGTTGAGGCATTTGTCAGTAATTCCTCCTGCGATCTCCCACAGCGCATTCCATGCTGTTCTAGAGGACCCTCTAACCAATGGCAGCAAGCTTGGGAGAAGTATAGGGGTAGCAGGTGGAGGTCTGCCCCACTGAGTGAAAGGAATTCCACTCACAAAACTTTTGATCCAACTCTGGGTGGGTCTGTTTGCATGACATGACAGCCCACCCAGAGTTACTTAACTCTTCTTGAGGTTGTGGCACGTGCAAGGTGTGTGCAGCTACTATTTTGGATCTGTAGCAACTGCTCATAGTTTGTTGTCATGCGAACCTGGCAAGTGTAAGTTATGCAACCCTCATAACCTGTGGTCTGGGGGTGATGGGAGGGTTGTTGCCAGGTTTGTTTGACATCACCCAGCGAGACTGATGCTGTGTCAGTGGGCTCCTTATCCTCTGTAGCTTTGCAGGAGCTCCATGATGGTGAACCCATTTTGGGGATGGAGTTCAGCAGCATGGGCAGCTTCTATGAAAGCTCAGACTAAAGGCTGGTTGTTAGACATACTGTGTTGTTCCAGTAAAGCAAAGGTGAGGAACCTGTGGTCCTCCAGAAGCTGCTGGAGCTCACCACACTGGTGGTGCTGTTTTCCCCTGCAGTAATAAGAATCTGTATTTGGAATGGGCATCAGACTCTTGTACTCTTGCTGTCTTGGGTAACATCTTGGGTGCTTGGGTGCATTAAAATCCATGGGTTGGATCTTAGCACAGTTAAGTTGCTTGCTGGGATTCAAGCAACCTGCTTGTGTATAAGACTGGTGAGCAACTGCAGAATGTCAAGGGACTGTTTTCACACTCAGACCCAGATTCTCCGTGTATTGCCAACTACTGGTATAAGACAATAGTCAATGTAAGTTGAAAGGATTTTAATTAACGTGTAGAACAGTGCTACTTGTGTCAAAATCATAACCAGCCATGTCCTGTTAAAGGCAGAAAACAGCCAGAAAGTAGACTGACCCAAGAGTGGTTGGTAGGGAGTCACAGTGCATGGTGAATCTAGCCAGAACTCTGTGGACTTTGTGTAAACAGTCAATTCTGTGCCAAGAAAAGCAGAATGCATTAAACAAGTTTGCAAATGTGGAGGGACAGTGTCCTGTACATGGCACTGAAGCTTCCATGGCTGGGGTTGCTGTCAGAAACTGACAGCACATTTTATTACTGCCATACCTACGTAGAATTTTGGCATATACATGGCTCTAGATTTTGCTGAAAGGACAAATATTTGCACATTTTTTTAAAAAAAAGTATCAAAACTTCTTTATTAAAAGTAGACTTTGACGAATGTTGTGTTTGCAGGCAAGTCTGGAATTTTGAAACTCTCCTGCTGCACATAGAGCACACTCGTTGCTTTTCAATTGGCATAACAAAGACCACAGGCCTTGCTAGTGTTAGCCTGGCCGTGGCACAGGAACAGGGATTCAGTATATGGATCCTGCCTGTGCTTCTTACATGGGTGCCAACAGTACTGAAGAGTCTGTGGACACGGGGCGCCTATGGCTTGGTAGTGGTTGGGGAGGATGCCTGGTAACAATTCTGAAGAGCCGCCTGTGCCTTGAACCCATGCTTGTGTGCTGAAGTGGTGCTGGCAAAGGTCCACTGATTTCAATAGTGCACTGTATAGGCGTCAGTGTCTCTGCTAAAAGGGGGTGCAAAGACATGGTGTTAAATGTAGTCCATTAAATGTAACTCTGTTAAATTTAAATTTAACTCATGCCATTCCCCAGCTGCTTAATGTATAGGTGTTTTGGATGGGGGAGGGTGTCTGGTCTCTTTTGTTTTCCCTTTCCCTTTCCCTGGTCTCTTTGTTTTTCCCTCTTTGTTTGAGCCCATCAGAGCCTTCCATATTCTGGAACACAGCCATGCAGGTATCACAGTGGGCACACCTGAGTAAAAGTATTGGTTTTTTATGCTGGCTCTGCTTAACAAGTTTATGCTGATTCCTACGACTAGTATTCCTTGCAACTCCCCCTCACACTGTCCACGTTTAAGAGTGAATAATAGTTAGTACGCTTGAAGAGCAGGTCACAGTTCTCAAATGGGAGAGGGAAACCAGGAGTCTCTTGCACAATATGAGAGGAAACACTGACACAGCCAATACAGGTGGTTTATGAGCTCCATCATTAAAATCTACTTAACAGGATGCAGTTAAGCTTTTAAATGTATTCTTTAAGCACTACCGAGAACATAAGTACTGCAACTAATTATAATCATATTGAATGGAAAAACTGTAGATAAAATGAATCATTTGACTTTGTGGTGTAAGAAGAGGTCAAATATACCTAGTTTTTCAAGAGCAAAGAACTTTTTTTCCCCTGTAGTATTATTTCATTAAAGTTTACATCTTTGTTGATGCAGTGCCTGACCCCTCGCCTCCAAAATTCCTGTACATTTGTTTTAGGCATTGTTTTGAGAATATGCAGAATATTCTCTGTAAGTTATGAAAATCTGTTGCTTTGAGCATAATACATACACTTTACATTCCTGTATTTTTCTTTGTATATCCAAATATTAATTGGCTGATATTTTCTGCCTGCCTTAGTTACCAGTTAGTTTTCAGGTACTGTGTAGCATTCTGGTCTTGATCTTTCTAGCCATGCATGGCTTGCTTAAAGAACACCTTCTCTGGTATAAAACCATGCAGCTTGAGATTGTTGGAGCAGACTTGCAATGCGTTGCATTTCTTAAGCAGCCTGCAGGATGGAGTTTTCTGTGCTGGTGGTACAACTGTGGAACTCCCTGCTTAGGGAGGCCTGTTGCTAGCTGCTTTAGAAATCTTGTGATGCTTTTGTTTCTGCAGGCTTTTAGTTGAATTAAATAATAATAATGTGCTAGCTGCAGCCTAATGTGCTAAGCCATTTAAATTGGTGATTCTTCCTCCTCCTATCATAAAACTCTGACCATCATAATTCCATCAACAAGTCTGCCCCCCACCCCCCAGCTTTTCAGAACATCTTGCCAGATGAAGAGCTTTGGAGAGCTTGGAAACAATTTTGGAAATACTAGAATATTAAAATATTTTGTGAGCTACGCTGGGTACCTGATTGTAGTGAAAAGCAACATAACTACTAAAACAAATAGGTTTTCTATTGCTTTGAAATTAACCTTTCACCAGCTTTTGACTAGCAGCTCTAGCATTTTAATAGACATTCTGCAGGGCATACACCCTTTCTGAAAGTGCTGAGTGTCTTCAAAATGGATATCCTCTGGTTTGCTGTATTGCCACAGCAAAGGTTAAGATATGGAGTGTCAACAGGATAGAAACTCAACCAGTCAAGCGAAAAGTGCAGAAATATTTTGTTTCAGCAGTAAAACAACAAGACACATTCTGTTCGCATGGCTGAATATCAAAAATAGGATTTCGAACAGCACTTTTTCTTCAAAACAAAAATAAGATCATAGCATAGCTTTAATTAAAATGTTCAGTCAGCAATTATTTGTTTAATCAGATGACAGACTTAGAAATCAATGTTTGATACTACTGTGTGAGATATAGCTCTGTCTAATCTTTCTTTGTGTATGATTCAGCAAAGTTATTCTGTAGCACAGCTTCCCCAACCAGGGCTCTCCAAATGTGTTGGACTACAATTCATATCATCCCCAATCAACCTAGTCAATGTAAGCAATGACTGTAGTTTAAAATATCTAGAAGGCATCATATTGGGAAGGCTGGTATGCTGCTAAGCCTAGAGCCTGAGGTTGCAATCCTATGAATCTTTAGACTGAAAGGGAGCCTACCACTGCCAGTGTCCCTACCATGCTGTGAACTGTAGGATATTTTTATGTCTAAAGATGTATAAGTTTGCCTCCTAAGTAGTTAATAGGGATGACTGAAAGCGGGGACTATGACAGGAAAGAAAAAAACGTACACACCACTCAATGCATGATGCTCTCGTGCTGGAAGCAGTGGAACAAACACAAGCACAGAAGATGTCCCATTGAAGGCATGGAGCAAAATCTCTGGGCAGAATTGTTGTTGAGCACAGAAAGGGCTCTGACCATGACTGCTTCCTGTGAGAAATCTGCTGAATCTGTGAATCCTGTTCATGTATTTAAAAATGTGCATGCATGTAAACATAGAGATATCAGATGAGTGTGAATGTTAATTAAAATCCTTGTCAATGACTTTCTTCTCCCTAATTTCTTTCTAGTTGAAGCTTTATATCAGTCTACATATCCAGAGTATCTCCAGTACATTTACCTGGTTGCACCAATATCACTCATGATGCTAAATCCCTTAGGATTTATTTTCTGTGAAATCCAGAAATCAAGAGACAATCAAAATCTTTCTCTCAGCAAAATCAAGATTGTGGGACTTGGGCTTCTTCGAGTGTTGCAGAACCCCATTGTATTTATGGTCTTCATAGGAATTATCTCAAATTTCATTCTTAACCAAAAGATTCCCATATATTTGGAAAATTTCCTTGATGGACTTGCTAGTTCGTTTTCCGGTTCTGCACTTTTTTATCTCGGTCTCACCATGGTTGGGCAAATAAAGAAACTAACAAGGGGTACATTTGTCGCACTGATCCTTCTCATCACAGCTAAACTGTAAGTTCAGTTTTGTTTGTTGATATTGTTTAGTGTTTCTGCTACTTTTTCAGTGTTAGGTTTTTGAATCTGTTATTGGGGGATAGAAACAATGGGTTAAAATGAACATAAAAAGGGCATTCATTCAAAAGGGCTGCCTGTTTGGAGCAGATTGGGGGTTGCTTATTTTCCCTGTAAATTGTGAAATTGTTAACAGTGACCTCATTTTCTGAATATGTGAAGTTGTCTGTATTGGTGACATTTTCATACTTGCTATAAATTTAATTTATTATTCATGTTGAAGATACATTTAAACTGTTAGTTCATACATATGTATCTTAAAGACAAACTTAAGACTTAAGTAGGGCTGAGTGAATCCTGTGAGTCATTTGCATGTGTGTTCTTTCTACATTAATCTGCATATTATGTCTTTTTAAATTTTGAGATTTTGAGACATTTAAATAACTGAAGATTGCATTGGTGTATTCAGAGATGGTCATAGTTTGGTAGAAAGCTAAGTTCTGATACACTCGTTATTCCAAGATGTGCAAATCAGATCATTTTCTTTCAAAATGTTCAAAGACTGAATTCTTAAAGGTCTACAGGTCTGCATTGTCTACATACAGATCTTTCCCAATATTTTACTTTTCAGTAAAGCTGTAATGTTTCCAAAGTAGCATGCCATGAGATGTGTAGGAAAAGAAAAAGGTTAGAAATTAGGGTTAGGATTAGTGTTAGGGAAGGTTGCTGTGTGGTTTCCTGAACTGCAGCCAGAGTCCTTCAAGCAGTGATTGACTGGCTTCTATCTTGAGTGTTCTACTGCTTATCAGGACTCCACCGACTGGTTTAAAGTTGGTTAAGCAGGAATGCGTATTCCATATCTCAATGGTTAATGCATAACTTACCTCTTTTAACTGATCCTTAATGCTCATGCTTCCAAAAGCCTTGCTTGAATCAGAAGTAGCAATCCTGTGTTCTTTTACAGGAATCCGAGCAATTGAACTAGGTGATTCACCAGAAATATTAATGATCCATGATTTTTATCTTCTGCCCATCTCTATCTTTTTTAAAAGCAGGCAGATTATGTGCATTTCTTTTCACCCTTTCTGATATGTCTGAAACTCTTCCCTTCAGAGAGCTCTTTTTAGTTGAATCTCTGCTTCGAAGGGGGCCTCGGTGTTTGAACTGAGGTGAGAGGGAAGGTGGTGCATTTAATAAGTAAAATCAGTTTGGTAAAAGCCTCTTCCGGGGTTGGGGGTGTTTCATGTACTTACAAAGTGCACAGTGAACAGTAGCTTTTGGAAACGGAGATGTGATTATGGGCTGTGATTTCTGGATGGATGTTCATCATGCTCTTACAGTCACAGATCTCCTCAGACATCAGTGTGCATCACATGGGCAGACCGTGGCCATGTTGGTAGGCCAATCTGTGGGAAGGCCCTGAATTTCTGTCCTTTTATGGGTCTTATACTGTCATTTTCTAAGCAGAGGAGAAGTAGTTTCTGGGGTGAATGGATGTTTTTCCTAAGGTACGGCAATGAACGTAAGATGGGTATCTGAGAAACAGATGTATTGGACTTAATTACAGCAAAAAAGGCATTTTAGGCAACGAGACTTTATTTATTATTTAAGTTGCTTATAAACCGCTCTTCATAATATTAATCCGAAGGCACCAGTCCTTATTTAATAAAATATCAATATACAACAGCACAAAGGGCAGAATACGGCAATTCAAATAGAGTAAACCTTCAACCTAAAAGATAAGATCCTTCCAGTATTGATCTACAAACTATTAAAATGCTGGACACAATAAAAACCTCTTATCTGGCCAGGGCGACTTATTTTATATCGTTATTTTTTGTATTTTAACTTAATGTTTGTATGTTACAAACATTTTAACTTAATGTTATGTTAATGTTTTAACTTAATGTTGCTGCCCTGAGGCTTCGGCGAATGGGGCAGCATAGAAATGTTTTAATAAATAAATAAATAAACAAGAGACCAAAATAATAATACAACAGGTGCCAAGCAAGCCTGTATCCAGTGGTGGGGAACTGAGAAAGCCGTGCTTTTGGTTGCCACCAACTTGACGCCTGGCAGCCAAGGTGTGGAAGACCTTAACCTTTGGGCAGATTGATATGGGTGGAGATCCTTACGATCTCCACCCATGCTGTGTAGGGTGCTAAAATTCAGAACTGGGCTCAGAAGTGAGCCAGTAACTAGTATAGATCACGGAAATCTGGGAGTGTGCTCCCAGAGCAATTCTAATCAAAATCCTGGCTGCTATATTTTGAGCTACCTTCCAATTCTGAACAATCTTTAGAGAACAACAGGACCACCTCTATCCACAGTCTAAGTTACTGCAGTTTCACTTAGCGGAGGTTGACCATTTTCCCTCCACGTTTGTAAAAACTGCGAATATCTCTAGGGAAAAACCATGGCTATCTCTAGAGAACTACACACTCTGTTTGGGGATGCCAGGCTCTTTGTCTTGGTACTAGACAGCCTCAAGTGTTTTGTCTCTCAGTGGCTGCAAAGACCCTAGAGATATTAATGATTTTTCCCTAGAGATATTTGCTGTTTCCTTGCATAGTATTCTTTATTATCCATCCCTTCAGGCATCCACCCGGGGGGGGGAGGGGGCGGGAGGGATTGGAACCTATCCTAAGCAGATATGGGAGTCCTGCTGTGTAGTTGAAATGTGTTGGTAGAGCATGGATCACTATTGCCAGAATGTGTACTGTGAAGCAGTGCTTTGTGCATGTAGGCTGCAATCCAGCACCCTTGCATATGACTAAGATCAGTGGGAGTTAAGACTGTGTAAACTCGCACTGGAGTATCACCATAACGTGTGCAAGGAAGAAGTCATACAAAAGGGAGGGTTTTTTAAAATTCACTATTACACCTTTTTTCATCTTGCGAGGTGGCTTACATGTTTGTCCTCCCTTATTCTCATGAACATTCTGTGAGGTATGTTAGGCTGAAAGTAAATGATTAGCCCAAAGTTAACCAGTGAGCTGTATGGCTGAGTGGAAACTAGAATCTGGATCTCCTGAGCCTTCATCCAATTCTCTAACCACAGCACCAAGCTGGCTTTCTTTATCTCCCGTCTCCACTCCCTTGCTTTTTTATGATTTTAAAAAGCGTTACTTTGTTTCTCATTTTGAGATTAGAAAAGAGTTTTGGAATTTGCCACTGGATAACTTGTGTTTCCTTTTTCTTTCCTTGTTCTAGACTGTTGATGCCACTTCTATGCAGGGAAATGGTGGAATTGTTGGACAAGAGCGACAGTGCGGTCAACCACACCAGTTTATCTAACTATGCATTTCTGTATGGAGTATTTCCAGCAGCTCCCGGTGTGGCTATATTTGCAACACAGTTTAACATGGAAGTAGAAGTTGTATGTGATTTAAACACTCTTTGCTTGGTGAACAAATGTAAAATTAGAGCATGCTTTTAAATTTTCTGTGCACTAGCATTGCTTGCTTCTTGTGTTCTTTAAAGAAAAAGATTGCAATCCAACATGGAAGTAAAAGCATACTTAAGCCTATTGTTTTCCAGCATAATTAAGACACATAGTTCAGTGTCAAATTGCTTTTCAAACATACCATTTCAATTTGTTTTAGTAATCAGAAACATCGCCTTCTCCCACTTGAAACTTTTTGGTTGGGGAGATTACTCTGTCCTTCGGAAACTGGTGCTTACAGCTGTTTCTCCAGTGAAGTGTTCCTGAGGCCATTGTGTAGAGTCTCCACATGCCTGTGTGTGTGTGTTCATTCCTGCACACACAGAAAGTACACACTTTTCTGCCCAATTAATCCTTTCATTAAGAGAAAAAACCTGTATGGATTTAACATGGTCTTGTGGGACCTTAAAGGCTAACCAGTCTATAAGATTGGTGAACTTTTTCTAGAGATACCCTTTTCTCAAAATTGCACTAATTTAAGAGGACTCAAGAGGAAAAACTAACGAGACCTGCCAGAATAATAAAAAAATATTGGTCAAGTTTTCAAGTGTTTTACTGTAGATTTTCATATCTTATCCTTTTGAAATTAGTTGCTGGTATAGTAGACATGAGATAATGAGAACCAGCATGTGGTATATCTAATGGGACCATGAGCTTTCACTTGCTGAGGTAATTAATGGATGGCGAAAATGAGTCCTCTTAATTTCTCATTGCAGATAACCTCCGGCATGGTGATCAGCACTTTTGTCTCTGCCCCCATCATGTATGTTTCTGCTTGGCTGTTGACCATTCCATCCATGGATCGAAACAAACTGGCGACTGCAATCCAAAACGTTAGCTTTGACATTAGCATTGTCAGTCTTGTGTCTCTGGTGAGTATTACTTTATCAAAACTGCATTGCTGGTTTGGTTTTTGGTTTTGTTTTTAAGTTTTAGAGGGAACATATGATAATCACCATGCTCACTTGTGAGTTAGCCTTCTTGAACAGAGGAGGACTTGATTCTAAGCAAGCTTGTGCAGAGACATGCTATTTCTACTTTCCTCAGGTGCCAAAAAAGAGGCAGGATAATAGAAGTTTGCAGTCTTAACCAAACCTTAACTTTTTGTTTTATAAACGGCCTTAAATATAAGCTGACATTAATGGTGAATACAGCTAGCCACTTTTAGTTGTTATAATCTGCCAGGTGGCTTTTTGCAAGCAGTCTGTGGCATATATCCGCAAATATTCTGGTTTTCTGAGTAGTATGATAAGCAGCTAACCCAATACTAAGTGAAGGCACCAAACACTTCTTGTATCACTACAGACTGCTTCACAAAGGCCACCATTCTAAATAGATGTACATACCTTTACCAGTGTAGATATTATGCCAGGTATGCCTCATAATGGATGTGGAATGCACGTGTGTGTACCTGGTGGGGAACTCTGCTTATGTTCCAGTGTGTGCAGGCACAGCGAAGGAAGCCACTGTGGCCACTGTGCCACTGCTCCTTCTTTGTAAGCCTCATTATTGCGTATAGTCCTGTTGGAGGTTTCAGAGTATGAAGAAGCTTGATGCTTGAGACCAATATTGCAATTCTGCACTACTGCCAGCTTAGCTGAAACATTCTTGTGCAGTAGGTAAAATAAGCTTGTGTCATCTCAGTTGGAGTTCCTTTATGTTAAGCAATCATAATATTTTTAAAGATCTTGATAATCAGCTAGCTTGTAACATACATAGAATAGTAAGTCAAATAAAGGACTGATTTTAAATTAGATTCTGGAAACCCTGCACTTACTCACTGAAACAGACTCTTAGCAGAAAGTCCGATGAAAGGAGGATTACCTAAAAGTCTGGACACCATGAAAATAAGGCAACGGTAACATGTTGATGTTCTTTGGAACAGGAGAAACCCTAATTGACTCTGATCTGTGTTTTAGATCTGGTCCCTTGGTGTTATTCTCTTGAGTAAAAAATACAAACAGCTTCCTCACGTGCTTACAACTAATTTGCTCATTGCTCAGGTCAGTACAAATTCAGGATATAAATATATAATTTTGTCTTTCTTTTTTGGGCGGGGTGGGGAGACAGACATGATTGTTCTGAAATTAATAGAAAATAGGGAAGTATTTATTTTACTGAAGGTTTGAGGGCACATGATAAAGCTAAGCAGCTGTTGACCTGGGAGCCATACGCATATCACCTCAAGTGCAGAATTGATCAATGTAAATGATACATTGGGCTGTAACCCCTTTAATGCGGGTGCAAAGATTCTGAGGTGTGTGGGGGGGCTTCCCTGCCACCCCTCCCAGCTGTGGCCTCCTGTGTGCCTCAGAGGGGGATTTCCTGACGGCTGAAAAAGGTGCTGAGTGGGTGGCTGCAGTGCAGAGGGGAACTGCAAGGAAGCCGGACAGAAGCAGCTGCAGCACAGAGGGGCAGGGAGTTTCCGTTTAGGTACCGCACGGCTTGCAAGCTGGTAGACCTCACTCTTTTCTATTATTGCAGTGCTAGTAGCTGTGTGGCTGAAAATGCCTTGAAGGACAGACCTTTCTTAAGGAGTGTTTGCTCTCATTGAGTGTAGTTTTAAAGTTGTAAGCCGCCCCGAGGCTTCAGCGAATGGGGCGGCATAAAAATGTTTTAAAAATAAATAAATAAATAAATAAATAAATAAATAAATAAATAAATAAAGTCATTCAAGAATATGTCGACATGTGCATTGCATCATCATAACACTCCTAAATATTGCTTCTTTTCTTTACACATCTTGTTTGGTTTTGTGTAGAAGTTAATACAGATTTAGATACAGACCCTTTCTCCACTGTAACTGTCAAGTGACTTTAGTCTCTCCATCCACCTCCCTGTTGCTTTTCCCTTTTGAGCACATCCAGTGGAATCACGAGTATGAGGCCTTGAGAAGGTCCTGTTTCCCTGGTGCCCTTTTTCTTCATTCCTTTCTCCATTGTTCGCATCTTCACCCAAGGTCAGAGCTCTGACTTTGAGTGTAGTACTTTCTTTGGTACTGCAAGGGAAAGAGGAAATGATCTCCAGTCAGATTTTTTTCCTTTCCTTTCAAGGTCATAGCCATGTCTATAACCTTGGTGGGGAACTCTAAAATATTCTGTGGTCTCCAGCATAATCTCCTAAGGAACCATAGGATTGCTTCCTGAAGCATTTATTTCATTAACTGCATGAGTTTTTAAAGCAAAGTTTCTCCAGTTGCATAGCAGCCTTAAAATAATCTGAAAAGCAAATTTTCTTATCTTCTAGTTTGTGGCCTGCATTGGAATGGTAATGTGGAATTTCACTATTGAGAAGAGAAATATCCCTGTGCAGATTCTTGTGTTTGTTTTCCTGTACAGTTCACTTTATAGTGCTTTTTTGTGGACAGGTAAGTGGGGAATCCATGGGTTTCCATATAGCAAATGTAAGTTTTCATCAGTGGTGAAATACTGAGAAGTGGTGTAATGTAGTAGCGGTTTAAAGAGACTGACCTATAGTCAGTCTCATTTCTCCTCTGAACTCACTAGCTAGTCTGAGGCAAGCTCTTCTTGGTTTTGGCCTTGGTTCTTCACTGAGAGAATAGTACTGACTGACATTACAGGGTGGTTGTATTAACTACATCTAGACAGTGTGACTGGAGAAACATTGGAATATTTGAAAGTGCTATGCAAATACCAAATATATGTGTTATTTTTAAAGGATTAAGCTTGTCATCCACAATGGAAATCCACAGTATGACAATCCTGCAATCTCTTAGTTACAATCCAATAATTATAGCCCAACAACTACAATCGAATTATAATTTGGTCAAACCAGCTTTGCCATGGTCTGCCTACCTTCACCCTGTAGAATACTCCTTTCTAACCCACCCAGATGATAATGGTATTTCAATTTATATAGCACTTTTATTGTTGAATTTATGTCATGCACACGAGCACCATAATAATTAAAACATCCCTGTACAGAAGACTGGCATTGCCCCTGGATTCCAGGTCGGGCACTGATGGTGCTTCAAGGCAGAGGAGACCCATTATGGGAGTTAGTACTGTGCAGCTGTTCTAGTTTTTATTTTTAGTAGATTATCTGCAGGAGCAGAAACGGAGGGAAAACTCAGGAAATTCGCAAGTAGAAGTTCTCATCTGGAATCCCCTGTGTGTGCATGCACATACATATACACGTGTTCGTGTGTGTACCCTACGCTCTTTGAAAGCCAGGTGATGACATGGTGGCCTCCTTTCCCAGAGCTTATGGTTGAGATGAGACTTGAACTGGCAGCTTTTCAGACTCGGAGCTCTTTCATTTTGCCGTGTATGTTACCAGCTTCTGCATCAACTTGGATTTCCGGTCCGTACTATCCAGCTAGGTTTGCTACAGACACCAGAAGTCTGAGTTACTGCTGAAGGGCAAGGGCTAAAATAGCTCTGCGGCAGAGCCCCTGCCTTGCCTGCAGAAGCTCCCAGTTCCATCCCTGGCATCTCTGGGTAGGCCAGGAGAAGACTGCATCCCTTGGGAGTGGCTGCGAGTCGGCGTACTGGGTGATGCTGGGCCAGGTGGAGCAATGGTCTGCTCAGTGTGAGGCAGTTTCCTGTGCTTCTGTTTGCCGCAGCCCATCTTCACTACTCATTCCTTCTCTCGGGGTTCTAGTGCTACCTTGTTCAAGTGGGAGAGCCAATGGGAAAGGAGAGAGAGGCACCATACTTTTGTCAGAGGGCAAGATAAGGGGAACGAGATGCATCATGCTCCTGGAGAAGTCTGCTCCCTAAAAAGGAATAAACCCAATGTTTTCTTTTACAAGGTCTCTTATCTCTCTCTCTGCTGCTTTTGAAAAGAAGAGAAGCCATACAAATCCCCATTGGATTTATTATTGCAGCTGGCTGGGGGTAAGTTTGCAGAGGTTCTCGACTAAGAAAATACACCGAGAGCTACAGGCTAATTATCTGTATGGTTCATGCTGTCTTTGCATTGCAGTATCCCAGCAGTTCTTGTTGGAGTCCTGCTAATCACTGGCAAACACACTGACGCCATTGACTCAGCGTTTTTTTATGGACCTTATCAGGTATGGATATTCTTCAGTTCCTGTTTTTCGATAGTTCCCTTTCCACAGGTTGGTGAACCCTTTATGCTGTTCCTCTTAATACTTATGGATACAATATTACAGGGAAAAAAAGCACAGTTTGCAAGAACAGGAGCACTAAATTAACTGCATGCTGCTGATCCAAAACTTGAGGAACACTCTTTAAGAGCCAGGTCTTCTATATATTTTCTGGAGTTGGCAGAAGGGTGATGTCAGAAGTGTAGCAAGAATAAGCAAGGAGTCAGCAATTTGACTGGGTTCCTGCAATCCCCCGCAGGAGCCTGTCACTTATCACTTGACTGGCCCAACTGCTCTTGCCACGTGTGGGGTGCTATTGCAATGTTGTCTGGATCCAATGAGGGGAAGTGTGTGGGGGATGTTTTCTCCAGTGACCCTGTGAACCGGCTTACTGTTTTGCTCCCTTGCCTGCAGCAGGAATGGCTAATTTGACGGGGACGGGGCGTTATGCTCACATGACTCCAGTCCTCCATCAGCTTCACTGGCTTCCCATTGAAGCCCGGGCCCAATTCAAGGTGTTGATTATGACCTACAAAGCCCTAAACGGCTTGGGTCCTGGCTACCTGCACGAGCGCTTACGTCCGTATATGCCCGACCGCCCTTTGAGATCTGCGGGAGAGTCCCTTCTCCGGGAACCCTCCATGAAAGAAATTAGGAGAGTAAGTACCCGGAGGAGGGCTTTCTCTGCGGTGGCGCCCAACCTATGGAATTCACTCCCCAGAGAGGTCCGCCTGGCACCGTCGTTACTGGTTTTTCGGCGCCAGGTAAAGACCTTTTTATTTAAACATCATTTCAATTGTTAAAACATATGATCTGGCCTGGGCAACTTCTTCTTCCTTCTCTTTCTCCTCCTATATTTTTATTTTATACTGATACTTTTAATTTTGTATTTGTAAATCAATGTATTTTTTGTATTGTTATATTTAATGGTAATTTATTATGTACTATTGTATTTCAATGTATTTTATCATGTTGTAAGCCGCCCCGAGGTTTCGGCAAGGGGCGGCATAGAAATGTTATAATAATAATAATAATAATAATAATAATAATAATTTGTATGTGTGGCCCTTAGAAGGCACCCGCCTAGACCAGCAGGCCCCTGCCAGCCCACCCAACAGTCGATTGCCAGACTGCACGGGAAGTGCATGTGCAGACGGGATATGACCCCTGCACCCTCTTTCCCTGGGGAAGTTAAAGCCTTGTCTCCATGACAGCACTCAGTTGCAGCATCACAGTGGTTTCAGCCTGGCCCCCATAGCAACCATTCCCTAGGGAAAGAGGGTGCAGGAGTCAGGGAGGGTGCATTCCCTGCCAGGAGGGTGCAGGTTCTGTTTTTCCTGAAGAGCTACTGCAGTGGAGGCAGGGTGGGAATCTCCGCATCACGATGCACTAAAGTGGCATTGCAGTGGGAGGGCTGGGGGAAGAGGCTTTAGCATCGTCCCGTCTCAGCAAGAGTGCTCTGTTCTCTCTCTCTCTTCCTCCCCCGTCCCACCCCCCAACATCCCCGTGCAGGTGATCACCACAGCGGTGGTCGTGTCCATCAGCATTCTGACGTCAGGCATCTCACTCATGTGCATGAACAGATCTGGAGCAGAGGCCAACTATGAGGCCCTGAGCCAGCATTTGCCGCAGAGTCAAACAGAGGAAGCGGAAAGGGAAGTCAGTGAGCAAAGTAGATCTTCAGCCAGTACATCTCATTCATTGGCAGACTCTTGTAAGGAAAGAGGTACGGCGAATGACAGCATAAATGTTTAGGAATAGGGGCAGCCATTACATGAGTGCATTGCTTGCTACTGTAAAGAGGCATCCGAGACCTTTACCAAACATTTTGCCTTGCTTCGCATTGAACGCTACTGCTTTGGACCTAAATCATACTCTACACTACTCCCATTGCCACATCCATCCTTTCCCTAGGCTTTATATGAAATGGAGCCTTTCAGATGAAAGTAGAGGGTGTGATTCCTTGTAGCAATGAGAAGACTGAAAATGGCATATGACACACAGATGGGAAAAGCAGCTCTAGCCACGCTTTCCTCAGATAGGGAGAAGGTGTTTCCAGTAGCAGCCAGAACAATAAAATGTTATCTGTGGTTAAAGGGAGCAACCTGCATTTCCTCATGTGACAGATCACAGTCTTCTCAGAATCCCCACCCCAAATACAACTACACTGACACACATTGTCACTTGTTTTCTCATTTAAAAAAAAAAGCCTGCCTTGTCTTGACTGGACAGTATGTTCCAGAAAAAGATTCTCAGCGGTGTTCCTCACCATCACCCCCACAGGGTGCTGCTCATGCCAAAAGCAGAATGGAGGATTATGCTGTCTTGAAGGAGAGCCAGCATCCAACACAAGTGCCATTGAGAACTGCTCCTTATCCATTGAGACAGGTAACGTAGTTGGATATTTATATTTTTACTGAACATGTTTTCATTAAGGGACCTGCACCGCAGGGAGAGAAATTTGCCCCCAGTTGCCGTCATCAACCTTTTATCCTTCTCAGTTTTGTCTCAGTTACATACTAATGGCATGGGCAGGATGCAGACTGTGGGAGCAAAGAGCCATGCCACTGGTCTGGCCCCCAGGGGCACAAGTCTTCCTTAATTTGCCTGGCACATGGACATCTGTATGCACTGGACTCTCTTCCGCCAGCATGTGAAGGTGGGAGCAGGTTCAGCGGCATGGTTCTGGTGTCCCTTTCTGCACAATTAATGCATGGTGAGGGTGGCTGAATACACATCTCACGAAGCCACATTTTTGGCTTTTGCCAGCACATGCACCTGCTTTTTCCATTCATCTTGTGCCACATGGCTGTTGCATAATTATTCGATAGTCTGGGAAAAATAGCACCAAGTTGATTCAGGGAGCCATTTTTTGACAGTAGAAAAGAGGAGGTCATCCAGCAATTCCTATTATCAGGGTGGGGGTGGTGCAGTGTTTCTCATTCCTCTTTGATGAGCTTAATGATAAGGGAAGAAGGGCTATACCTTAATTTTGGCACAACTGGATGGGTAAGGTATAATCCTACTAAAACTTCATACTCTCTGTACAGTCTAAATGAGACATCTCTGTTTTATGGTGATTTTCATGTTTGCAAGGCTTTAGCTGGGCCTTGGATTTGTTTACAAACAGCAGCAGCTCCCCGTAACCTTTCTAGATCTGTAGATGACTGACCAACAAAGAGCACAATCAAGAGTAAAACAATTTCACCTTTTTGTCAGGTAGAACACTATATTCTGTCTAATTGGCTAGAGGTGTGTATCCTTGGTTAACTAATTAGGGAGAGGAAATGCAGTCTTTCTAAAACACCCTCTCTCTATATGAGGAAGGCCCATGCTCTTAGGATTGTAAAGAAAACACAACCCCAAAGGGTGAATGCCCTATATGGCTATTTATTAACTTGTTGCTGCCATCTAGTGATAGACATCACAAACTGTTAAAGCTTTTAAAAACCTGGACAGAACTCTGATTTCAAGTATGGTGTGTTTCATCCCCTTCTTCAAGAGTTTGGTATAAGGAGGAAGCAGTAACATGTCAACATGCTGATCTTCAGCTTTGCAAGTTTTTATTTTGCAGCAGACATTGTAGGTGGGGTGTATTAGGCAGATATGTTAGTTCCTCTTGGAAATTTAATTGTAGAATTAAAAGCCTCTTCCAGAGAACTACTTTAGTCCTCTGCTGAACCTTGAACTGGGTCAGAAAACTCTGCCTTGTCAGTTCATACCAACAAGACCAAAACAATTCTCTGTGTTTTAATTGTTTTTCCTTTTTTGAGGTATCTTAGGAAGACTGTACTTGGAATGAAACTGTACATTCTGTTCTGTTTTTCATAGTGCTTTTCTCTTTGCTTGTGAAAATCCATATTAGCAAATCAGTGTTGTATTCACACATGCTAGAACAGTGCCCCTATAAAACTCAAATATACCTAATGTTTTTCAGCAAATCAGTGTCCAAGTCCATGCAGCTCACAGAGGTGTGCATTGGCGCAGGAAGAACACCTTCTGCAAACTGGAGACAAACAGCTAGCCAGACACGTGCTTCTCTGCCTACTTCTCATTGTAGGCCTCTTTGCTGTGAGTGTTTCATTTGGCAGAAGGGTGGGAGGCAGGAGAAGGCTATTGGAGAGAGGGGAAAGAACTCATTGGACTCACTAACAGAGTAAGCGTGTGCAGTTTCATAAAGCTGCAGTGCACAGTCTGAAGACCTATATGAACAGGTGTGTTCTGTTAAACAGTGATGGTGCTGATGTACACAACTTTTGATGGTATTCACATGGTACACTCATGAAAGGACAGACCTTTGCTTTTAAGGAATTGTTTGTTTGTTTTTTTCTTTCACAGAATCTTTCCAGCTGTTTGTGGTGGTTGTTCAGCCAAGAACCTGGAAGACTGTATGTGGAACTGCAGTTCTTTTGTGCTGTATTTAATTTTGGTCAGGTAGCTATTGATGATGAGTCCTAAACCGATTCTTTGATCTTACGTATGTAATAATAGATAAAAAATTTTAAATTACTAAAAGTAATTAACTTTATCATTGCATCAGAACTAGTTGAACTCTCCCATGCATCTCTAAATAATTTCAAGGCTTTTATGCGTTGCTGATCCTTATTTTTTTTTTCTTTTCAGGGATTTATTTCTTTTGGAATTTTTGGTTTAGACAAACATTTAATTATTCTTCCATTCAAAAGGAGGTAATTATTAACATAAGTATGTAATAGCACAATTGAATGCATGTTTACAGAGAAAAAGGTCTTACACATCCCAGCATCACCCAGCCAAATACTGGGAATCGAAGGGCTTTGTTCAACCTCCAGATACATAATATTGCTCCCTAAATACATGAATGCCAACTGTCTTTGAAACAGCAGACTCTGCCACTATTCTGTGTTGCAGCGTGTTAATTTACTCCAGTCATCTACAGTTCTTTTGGCCATTTTCAGTATAACTCTTCTGGCCATTAAATATCATTAGTTCATTGGCAGAAGTGGCAGACTGAACAAATTCTAGTTTGCAGCATTCAGGTATAATTGAATTTTGTAGCTGCTGACTTGCGTATCTAGATAAACACTGACACTTATAATTTTGGTCGCAACCTCTACTGCACAAAGAACACAGAGCTATTCTTGCACAAAGCATTGGTGAGGCTGACATGAGAGTTTGCCTATAGCTATTCAGTAAACTTCCATTTGGAAAAGTGACTCATTCTGGCCAGGTTTATGCCCAGCAAGCACCTTCTGTGCCCCCCACCCCCCATCTGCTAACCAAAGCACAGAATCAGGAACTCATTCTTGTCTTAGGGTTTCTGCAGGTAGAGAACCCAATATTTTACTCTTGCCAAGGAATGAGAAGCTCCTTTATACAACACCAATTAAGATTGTAGCATAGAATGCTTTAATTTTTTTTAGTCAATAGAGATGTGGTCATCAGTGCTGATGAGAAAGTGTGCACAGAGCTAAAAGAGTTCCTTGCAAGAGGAAACAGCGGTGGGATATAAATATGTTATAATAAATAAGAAGGATGGCAGTAGAGTAATACAGAATGGCAGTGTTCACCCTTTTAAGACCTCGAATTCGCATCCCTCTCTATGCTGGTATAATAAAGAAAATATACTATCTAAATTATTTTTTTTAAAGAAAAGCAAACAAACCAATTGTGGCATTAGTGGGAGGGTAGGTTTTGTTCCTAGCCAAGAGTCCCCAGCCAGCTGGGTCTGTCCCCTTCCTTCCACACAGCTCACATTCCAACGTGGTATGGAAAGAGGCATTGCTGGCACTTGCACTCCCCAGGCAAACTGAGTGCCACCCCTCCTCTAGGAGAATCCCCTTGCTGGCTCTGATCCGAGTTGATGGTAACATGGCAATTCCTCTCAGAACCCCTTTTCAAGCCTCCAGGACCCCTGGAGCTGCAAATGGAGCCTCTTCAGTCTAGAATATCAGTGACAAGAATGCTTCCAGTAAAGTTTGCCATTCTTCAAAGTCATTATAGTGCTGAAGGTTTGTTTTAAATTGGCTGTTTTCTACCTAGATTTGAATTTCTCTGGGGAAATAGAACAGTGGAATGCAGGGAATCATCTGTACCTGAAGAGATTCGGATGACATGTCAACAATTCGTTAATTACCACAAAGACACTTGTGTAAGGAGCATTGTCCAAGGCAGAAGGTGGGGCTGTTTATCAATGCAAAGACTTATTTAAGTGGTTCTTATACTTGATCTGAGTATATGCTAAGCACTAATATTTATGTCCTAATAGTACTTGTAATAGTATTTGTGTGTGTTGTTCTGGAAATATCTTCAACTAATACTAAGTAGACATGTATGTAACACTAGGCTTGTGGCTGTTTATTCCTAAAAACAAGGTTTGTTTGGTCTTAAACCAAAATAATAGGTAACTTTTTTCAAGAGTCTTCCTTTGCATTTATTTAAGAGGCTACATGTTAGTGTACTAAAATCATAGACCATATTTTTAAATTCTGGTTTTAACTGAAGATCAAAAGCCATGTAACCATTTGAAATATAAAACATGAAATAGAAAGTTTATGCTATTGGTAAGCAAAAGTAGAAATGAAAAAATGCCATTATCTAAACTGGATTCTCCTACAAGTTGTGCTTTGGAGATCTTGGTGATGGTACTTTTGGAAGACTTGCTGGCCTATTTCTTCACCCCTTTAGATTTGACCTGTTCCATACCTGAAGTGCTGAATTATCATTCAGGCCCAGCATTCAGGATTCCATAGCTTTCTTTTTTGATATGAGGGAAGAAGGAAAAAAAGAATTCTTAAAGCTGTAAACTAATTTGCCCAGTTTAGAAGTGTTTTGGGTTTTTTAAATTTCTTGAATATGCAGCCTTTTTGAACAATGCACAGCAAAATTGCTTAATTCCTGAAATTAAATGCTCTTTTTTGAATATGCATATTATAATAGTTCACATATTTTTCCAATTTAATAAAATGTATGCCCTCTCTTGACCATCTTCTCTGTATTTTCTTCTCATATTCTCTTTCTTCTTAGCTGAATTTCCTGCGCCAAAACTGTTCTATTTGTTGTTCCAGCATTTTGTTTTGTTGGCTATGCTTCGCTTCATTAGTCCAGATTAATCTTGCTCTTCATTAAAATGCTGAGAAACTTCTTGATTGCTGGCTTTCTTGTGTAGTCGGTCTTGGCTTGCATTAAGTCTAGGACACTGAAGATTTGCCTTGGATAAGAAAGCTGAGATAGGCAGGAATGTTCACTGGCTCAGAATGATGCTTTTGCTGCCATGTGTTACAAGTTATGTCTCATGGTATCATTAGAAATCAAATGGGATCTTTTTCAGTATCATGCTTAACATTTTGCATATTAATAAAATGTAGACTAATAAGCAAATAATTACGGTTCTTAAAGTGAATAATCAATTTATACTTAGAGTCACACAGCTGCATTAAATGGTAGCTTTGGGCGTAATCCTATGCATGTTTAGGCAGGAAAAAATTCTTCACCTTGCAGGATTCCCAGCCAGACTATCACTCACAGCACATCACACTGAGTGTGAACCCTCCATGTAGAAGCTGTTAAACATCCCACGGCTGCATTCCACGCGGTCAGTGTACTGTTCAGAAGCGCCTGACCACCATCAGCACCCCAGTCGCCTGTTGCACCACCGTGGCACTAGCAAATACTGGCAGCCCTGGCTTGCCCACAGCTGTGCCAGCACATGCTGCGGGAGAGCTTTCCCATCCGCTGCTGCAGCGTGAAGGTCCGCAGCTTGACCCTTGGACTGCATATTTTACCCTGGCGCTCTGCTGCTTCCAAAGCTGTTGCACAAGTGCATGTGTCAAATGCATCGCCTGCAAAAAGCGACAGCTTCTGCAGTGCAGTGCAGTGCAGGGAGGCAGGCGGCATGGAGTTGAGGCATGCTCAGGCTCACTTGCCCCTTAATATGCTCTTTCGTACTTGGTGGCCTGGTTTGCCTAAAGAGCAGATGAGGTGACAGATTATCCCTGAATTGCCCCTACAGAGAGAAGTGGGGACTGCATGGATGAATGGCTTCCTCCATTAAAAGCTAGCATAATACATAGCATTTTTCCCTTGTGCAAGGAACGTTTTTGAAGGGTCACCCCCTTCAGATCTTCAGTGCGACATGTGTCGTTGAAGAACAGATCTACTGCTGCTCTTGTGTGACATAGGCTTTAACCAGCAGACGGCAGCAGAGGAGTTGGTCAACTGGCCTCTTCCCACGTTCGGTGCATGTATGTGTGTGTGGAACGGAGATCTTTATTCCTGCTTTCGAATACCAAATCAGTAGTTCACGCTACGCCTTTGCTTTCACCAACTTTGGGCTATAATACCCATAAATTTAAGGGTGTGGACATTTGATAAGTAGAGATCACCCAACTGGAAATGACTGCTACACAAATGCTAATTCGCGTAATAAAATTGCGTGCATGCTTTGGCTGCGTGTTGACTGTGAGTCACGAAGGAAGGGAATATAGATTTGGCAACCAATCTTTACTATACACATGGCTAATCAGTACCCTTTTAACATACTTTTAACTGTCATGCTGTCTTTCCTTGTTTTCCTCCTATTTTTTCCTGTCTTCGCCCATCAAGCAGTGGCGATACGAGATTGACAGACCATATGGGTGAATCCTTCCTTTGACATACAGGTGTGGCTCAAAGACTGTAACTGGTATCTTCTTTGGCTGTGACCTGGTGAATTGGCTCGTGGAGGTTGGCCTTGCCTTAGACCGCGGGGAAGCTGTGGCGTATGGAGACAGACTGGTGAAAGGAGGCATCATCGCGCATATAACCAAGGAATTTGAGTTTCGGGATGAACAGTTGTACTATCGTTTTATGCCTAGGAGATTTACAAGATAGCCATAGAAGTGAAGAGGCACTTGGAAGATAGCCAGAAAGAGTTTGCCCAAACATGAGCACTCTCTCTTTTGCATCCTCTTAGCTAATACGGTTTGTCTCCGACCCAAAGAGAATGATGTCTTGAATATTGAATGCAACTATGACCTGCTTCAGGGAACTCTTTTAAATCATGGAAAGTCAAAGTGTAATATGTTCAGTACTCAGTTTTGGTTTTTGAAATATGTTTTAATATAGTTTTCTTGCATATGTAAGCAGTAGTGTGGATAAACCAGATTTTGAAGAAATGGTTGTTCTCTCTCTCCAATTCGATTCTGGTTTTGTATTACATGAAAAAAAGCCCACAAGGTCAACTATTAAAACATGTTTTGGCTTGTGTAACCTTTACTCCTTTTTCAAGATGAACTTCTCTATTTATATTGACATAACTGTGAAGATCAATATGGTTTCGATATGGTTTGTCAGTGGAACTGACAAATATGCTGATTTTTTCTGTTAATAATTCTTGCTCTTTTGTGAGTGAGCCAGCCCTAAAGAACCAAATGTAACCTGCAATCCTGCCATCAGGGCTGCTTGAATTTCAGTGGTCAGTGAGATTTAAAGCCACTTATGTCATGCAGGCCTTATTGCCCAAGTATTGCTTGTTTTCCAGATTGTCCCCTATTCCGAGAAAGCAGCTGGCATATAACCATTGAAAACAGAACCATTAATTGCAGCAACTCAATGCATTATGCAGATTCTGACTTCAGTTGATGATTGTGCAGTTGTGGTTACTTTTTACTTCCTAACTAGACCAAAAGCCTATTAAAAACACATGCCAAATACTTGAATTAAATTTGAATACTACATCAGTATGCTTAAAGAAGTATAATTGCTATTTTGTTATATATAGGTTTGAGAAATGGATTAACTTAATGGCTACATTCAGTCAAACGCCAATAACTGCCCCATTACAACTTCTATATTTTATACTTTTGTTGTCTACGTTGTCCATTTCTTTTTTACTCAAACTAATATTGCAGGCTAATAAAAGAATGGCCATTTTATTGACCTTTTTAGAAGGCAAGCAGAGTGTTAAACACTTACCAATCAATAATTTGTCGCGACTGTATTTCTATTGTGAGATTTCTTGGTTCCCTTCATCTAACCTTTTTCTTGTCACAGTGGTGGCAAGAGGTATGGATGGTATTTGACAGAAGCCTTCCTGAACTTGAGGCTGTTACAATTTAGTAGGAGGAGTCAGTCCTAACAGCTTGAGGTATAATCAGCATTTTCTGTAGCCACACTGCATGTACTTCAACAAGATAAATGACTTCCTTTTGTTGTCAAACATGTAATCTGTGTAATATCGATGGCACACAAGAACAGACCCACTGACCATGTTCCTTCTGTATTGTATAATAGACCTACCTTCCACAGTGAGTTTTATATAAAATGTGGTTTTAATTTGATTTGTAGTTGAAATGGAAAGAATGCTGCTATTAAATTTCTAAATCATGAATTTTGTCTAATTTGGAAGAATGACAGAGAAATATTTTGGAAGTAGTTGGTCTTTCTGCATTCTTAGTGTTGCTGTTTCTCAATAAATTCAGATGTTCTGTCCTATAGTTCTGAATTTTTCATTCCAGAATTAAATAAGTTATTGCCAGTAGTATGAAATACAATGTAATTATGTACCCTGGTATGTGCTACTTGCACATTCACTGTGGAATCATTTCTAGGGTTAGCCCATGCTAGGTCCCAGCTGCTTTTATCCCAACCACCAATAGTGTGATGGTTTTGTGTGTGACATTCCCTCTGCCAAATTTTGAAAGGTTGAACATTCTCTCTTAAAGCTTACTAATTGCTTGTAAGACAATTAAAATATGCTGCCCCTTTTACCTTTATAACCTTCCAAAGGGGGCCCCAGCCTGAGAAAGGCTCACCATTCCTACTGTTTTGTAGTGTATTTGAGTAAGGTAAATGCGTTATGGGATTGCGGCCTCACATAGCTTTTGGTTTACACTATTGCCTAGAGCAGTGGTGGCGAACCTTTTAGAGACTGAGTGCCCAAACTGCAACCCAAAACCCCCTTATTTATCACAAAGTGCCAACACTACAATAAAACCTGAAAACTGAGGTTTTGGTTAAGAAAAAACAAGTCTCAGCCAGTCCAAGAAAAAAAAAATATATTACTGGCAGCGCAATGACTGGCCATGCGAAAGCTGGGACGAGTCGTGGCTAAAGAGTGAGGCTTATGGTGTCATCGCCTAGTGTGGCTGCTCCTTTCCTAGCATGCACATGGCCCCTATGTGTGCTGTAATCTGGTGCTGGGTTGCTGGGGCGATGATGGGGTGACTTGGCTCGCGTGCCGACAGAGAGGGCTCTGCATGACTGCTGTGCACGCATGCCATAGGCCCGCCACCACTGGTGTGACCCTACCCTGGTGAACTCACCTAACCCTAATACAGGGGTATAGTATTGAAAGGGGTGATTTTGAAAAAGCCCTTCTTGAGTAGCTTTTTCTGCAAAGCTCAACATTTCTGACCATTCTAAACACATTCCAACCATCATAATCATACTAGGAAACCATGTTTTTGTAACCCTAACCCTACCCTGGTGTACTCCTCTAACTCTAATATGTTGTTGCTGTTGTTAGTCGCAAAGTCGTGTCTGACCCATCGCGACCTCATGGACAACATTCCTCCAGGCATTCCTGTCCTCCACCATCCCCCGGAGTTCACTTAAGCTCACACCAACTGCTTCTAGCCACCTCATTCTCTGCCGTCCCCTTCTTCTTTTGCCATCTATTGTTCCCAGCATTAGGCTCTTCTCCAGTGAGGCCTTCCTTCTCATTAGGTGGCCAAAGTATCTGAGTTTCATCTTCAGTATCTGACCTTCTAAAGAGCAGTCAGGGTTGATCTCCTCTAGGACTGACCAGTTTGATCGCCTTGCAGTCCAAGGGACTCGCAGGAGTCTTCTCCAGCACCACAATTCAAAGGCCTCAATTCTTCGATGCTCAGCCTTCCTTATAGTCCAACTTTCACAGCCATACATTGCAACTGGGAAAACCATAGCTTTGACTGTACGAACTTTTGTTGGCAGGGTGATGTCTCTGCTTTTTAGTATGCTGTCTAGATTTGCCATTGCTTTCCTCCCCAGGAGCAAGCATCTTTTAATTTCTTGGCTGCAGTCTCCGTCTGCAGTGATCTTGGAGCTTGGAAAAGATAAAACTGTCACCACCTCCATTTCTTCCCCATCTCTTTGCCAGGAAGTGATAGGACCGAATGCAATGATCTTAGTTTAATTAATGTTCAGTTTCAAGCCAACTTTTGTGCTCTCTTCCTTCACCTGCATCAAGAGGCTCTTTAGTTCCTCTTCAATTTCTGCCATTAGAGTGGTGTCATCTGCATATCTGAGGTTGTTGATATTTCTCCCATGAATCTTAATTCCAACTTGTGATTCATCTATCCTGGCCTTTCGCATGATGTGCTCTGAATATAAGTTAAATAGGCAGGGCAACAGTATACAGCCTTGCCAAACTCCTTTCTCAATTTTGAACCAATCAGTGGTTCTGTGGCCAGTTCTCACTGTTGCTTCTAGACCCACATATAAGTTTCTCAAGAGACAAATAGGATGGTCTAGCACTGCCATCTCTTTAAGAATTTGCCACAAATTTTTGTGATCCACACAATCAAAGGCTTTAGCATAGTCTAGCATAGTCAATAAAGAAGAAGTAGATGTTTTCCTGAAACTCCCTAGCTTTCTCCATGATCCAGTGTATGTTGGCAATCTGATCTCTAGTTCCTCTCCCTCTTCGAAATTCTGCCTGTACTTCTGGTATTTCTCGGTCCACATACTGCTGGAGCCTAGCTTGTAGGATTTTGAGCATAACTTTGCTAGCATGTGAAATGAGTATTGGGTGCGGTAGTTTGAACATTCTTTGGCATTGCCCTTCTTTGGGATCGGAATGTAGACTGGCCTTTTCCAATCCTGTGGTCACTGTTGAGCTTTCCAAATTTGCTGGCATATTGAGTGTAGCACTTTTACTGCATCGTCTTTTAAGATTTTGAGTAGCTCAGCTGGAATACTGTCACCTCTACTAGCTTTGTTGTTGCTCAGACTTCCTAAGGCCCATTTGACTTCACATTCCAGGATGTCTGGCTCGAGGTCAGTGACCACCCCATCATGGTTATCAGGGATGTTAAGCTCTCTTGTATAGTTCCTCTGTGTAATTTTGCCACCTCTTCTTAATCTCTTCTGCCTCTGTTAGGTCCCTGCCATTTTGGTACTTTATCATGCCCACCTTTTCATGAAACGTTCCCTTCATATCTCCAATTTTCTTGAAGAGACCTCTGGTCCTGCCTATTCTATTGTTCTTCGTTGTGGCCTCTGTGCATCACACATATGGGTGCTGCGCCTGTGCAATGCCTTTGGCCGGAAGATTACAAGCTAACAGTTTTTGGCGGGAAAGCTCTGCTCCCCCTCCCCCACAGCCTATAAAAAGCAGAGCATCCGCCATTTTGTTCAGTCTTTGCGACCGCCGTTCACTGTGCCTCGTGCCGCTTTCGTCTATCGCTCTGACTGTTACTCGTATAGTTACTTCTTCTCCTCGATTATTCTCCCAATTATTATATTCCCGTTAGTTCTTGTTGCCTCTTACAGTTCTTGTTAGTTCTGTAGTTCTGTCATTCTACCTTCCTCTCTATCTTCTATAAAACAAAAACAAAAGAAACCAAAAATATATTCTTACCCTCTGCACTGTCTTCTTTTTTCCCTTTCTTGTGATGGCTCAGCGAGCCGCTTTCCGCAAATGTGTGGAATGCGGGTTGAAGATGTCTCCGACTGACCCACATGACCTATGCCTCCTCTGCTTGGGGGAGGGGCATAGGACTGACAAGTGCTCTCACTGCCTGGCCTTCTCTAAGCAGGCCAGGAAAAATCGAGAGAACTGCCTCCGGAGGCTCCTGTGGGATCGGGCTCTCATGCAGTCTGACCCACTCGTTGTCGCTCCGAAGCCTGGCTCTACTACGGTGGTCCCACCCTCACGCCCTTCGGACGAAGGCACGTCTACCATGGTGGCCCCACCCGCTTCCCCGAAGAAGCGTGAGAAGCGTAAGCATGCTGATACCGATAAATCAGCAAAGAAGGCCAGGAAGGAGAAGCCTCCGAAACTGACCCAGAAGTTGAAGGACCCGGAGCGCCCACGGCATCGTGACTCAGGTTCGACAGCCCCCTCGGTACTGACGGCAGCCACTGTACCAACTCCACCCAATCCGGTACCCCAGGCAGCTGTGAGGGTCACCACCCCCAAGGGTCCCCTCGACATATGGCTGACCTTCCTACTGAGCCGCTTCCAACTCTTCAGCAGGGGTCAATTTCTGATGGGGGAATTCAAGACTCTTCCCCCCAGGGCACGGTCACCCACGCCTATGCCTGTAGCCACGATGGAGGCGGATGTGGAGATATCCCCGCCTAGAGTTTGCAGGAGTTGCTTGAGGGAACAGTGATCCGAGGGATGGCTTTGCTCCTACTATCCATCCTGGGGTGAGCCACACTCTACCGGGTACTATCCCGCACCGAGGGATCGGTCTCCACCACCCTCCTGCGACCGCCCACTGTCCTTGGACCCGAGGCGCGCACCCCCAATTCCTCGGGATGAAAGTAGCCGGTCTGTCTCACTGGTGGAGTCCTCTTCTTTGGCTCCCCCGTATTATGGTGCGGACTCCGATGACTCGGATGTTGACTCAACCTCTCCTGATGTCGCTGTGACCTTCCAGGGCCCTGCGTCACCGGACGAGTCTCATGTCTCCTTCACGGAGCTCATGTCCCGGCATGTCCAGTCCCTTGATATCGATGCCGTCCAGCATCTGGGACCTTCGACGGACAAGTTTTACGACGTCCATGGGGAGCAGTTCACCTCGATCATCCTGCCCTTGATCACCACCCTACGGCAGGCAATGACGCAACCCTGGGACTTGCCTTCTCACCCTCAACCCACGTCTCGGAGGTACAAATCCATGTACCAGGTTCAGGAGGAGGACATTCCATTCCTCCTCCGCCACCCCAAACCGAACTCAGTCATGGTAGAGTCCTCCCACAGTAGAGAGGTAGACCACACCACCCCGAGGGATAAGGAGGGACGTAAGATCGACTCCCTGGCCAGGAGAGTCTACGCAGCCTCAGGCCTGGGGCTGCGTATTTTGAACTATGAGGCGACGTTGGCGAGGTACCAGTACTTTATAATGCAACGCCTCCACAACGTCGTCTCGACCCTCCCAGACCACCAGAGCGACCTGGCCAAGGTGCTAATAAAGGAGGCAATGCAGGTCGCCGTTCAACAGTTGTCCACAGCCAGGCACCATGTGGACACCAACTTGAGAGCCTTGGTTGGTGCTGTCTCTCTGCGCAGGCATGCGTGGCTGAGGAGTGCCAACTTCCCGGAGGAGACTAAGCGCCGAATTGAGGAAATGCCTTTGATGGGTCCGGGCTTTTCCATTCCAGGACTGATCACAAGCTCAAAAAACTCCATGAGTCCCGCATGACGGCCTGACGGATGGAGTTCCGGTCTCAACCATGGTGTAAGTGGGCATGGACCCGTCCGCGCTATAGACAACCTTACCAGGCC